TAGTGCCTGAGGCTAACACCTGGGATGTGGTGCTCATCTGGAAAAGGCAGTACACTGACTGCAGCTTGTGCCAGTCTTGGTACTGTGAAATGTCCCTCCTCAGAGCATCCTCTGAAACTAGCACAGAGGAAACAGTTATGCACTGGACAGTGAGAGACCTTGGTTCGGTCTCTGTGTCTTGTTTGTCTCTGCCCTGCTTCTTTCTTTGGACATCAAAAGCTAAACAGATTTTGGAAAGTGTTGAGGTTTGCACTGTGATTGGCTAAATTTGAACAGAAGTATCTCCAGATTAGAATTAAAAAGTGATGAATCGTGGATACAGGACTATAAATTCAGTTTTCATTGTTACTGCTAATAATTTAGATTATATTCATGCTTAATGCCTAAAAGCTACTTATGTAACACTTATTGTGTAATTAGGTATTAATCACAAATGTATGATGTATTACTGGATTACACAGTCAAAAATGTCAAATAGATCATTTAAAAAATGTATTACCTGGATATTGTTTTCTTCATTATAGGGAAATATGTGAAAACCTGCATATAGAATCAATACCTTCAAATGCTTTTGTGGGAATGACCAAAGAGCATATAACAATGTAAGTTTTATTTCTTATACCTTCGTTAATGAAAGCCTTGAAGACAAAGATTATCTTTTGATTTGTGTGGTTTTTTTTGTGTTTTTAGGAACCTGTATAAAAATGGCTTCAGAGAAATCCAGCGCTGTGCCTTCAACGGGACAAAGATCGATAAACTGTACATCTTGATTTTACACAGTACTGTCACTGTAACTTTGGGGAGACGATGCTTTAAATTTATATGAAATAATAGATTTCCTCTGCATGTCAAAATAAATGAACAAGTTTTAATCGCTGAAAGTTTATTTAACACTAGGGTCAGTGTAATACTTTTATAAAAACATTACCGGCAGAATTGTAATATCACCATTTTGTTTTATTTGATCTTTTAATCAGTTAATCAAGCATTTAATTGAAAATGCTGTTTATGGCCCAACATCACACTTCACTCTACAGTACATACACCGTACAACTATACTAATAAAAATGTAAAATTCAGAAACAGCACATTCTAAATGTAGAAATTATGTACATATTATACAATACAATACAATTCTGCAGATCATCCATAAATAATTATACATATAAAACAGAAAATAACTGCAAGTAAGAATACTGGTGACAGATATTCCAACTGAAAACATATTGTGATATTATGGATACATGTTTGCAGAGCTTATGTATCTAAGCAAAAAGAAATTGAGAAATTGAGAGTGAAAAAAACAGGTACCACATGTTGTGTAGCTGCTACTGTCAGTTATATATCCTTATTTTCACAAATGTAGCTCCACTGTTAATGACACAAGTTACTAGTCCACAAATACAAAACTTTAGTAAGAATCAGATGATTGCAAATGTCTGAGGACACACTCCTGTCTCAGCAGAACAGTTAGTTTAAGCCAAGAAGTGTCCCCTTTAGTACCTTCTGTTTCTTATGTGCTGGACATGGAGTTAATTGTTTTAAACCTATTTTACCTTTACAGAGTTTTGAAAGGCAACAGTAAACTCAGAATAATCCATGAAGAAGCTTTCATTGGAGGAATTGGGCCTGATGTACTGTAAGTAAAACAGAGTTTATAAAAGAAACCAGCTACTAAAACAACTTACATTCTCAGGATGTGAATACACCCCTTACCAAGCAGCTTTTCTGTTTCATAGAAGCATATTAAAGAGTTAAAGTGAAATATGACTATAAATTATTCATTCAAATATACAATTATCCTTCAGAGCTCCAGAAAGCAGCCCATTATTAAGACTCTGTTTGTCCCATCAACTACAAAAATGGCTCACTCACATAAATAAATATGATCAAAATGTTTTTTGTTACACATTAAATCACTGCAGAGTATTCTTACTGTAAAAATTAACAATGCAAAGAAAGAGGTATAATCACAAGGCTTATTCACTTTTGTTTTATTGAGTACTTCCTTTGTATCTTTGTCACATTATCCAGTCTGCAGACCATGAAAGGAGAACTCTTGTGATAAATATGGTGTGCTTTGGCTCCAGTCTGAATCTGGGATGCTCTGTCATAGTCCTGGAGGGGTGGTGTGTGTCTGTGGATTTTCCATTCTAGTACATCCATAATGAATTAAACCAGCAGGGTACTGGCTTAAGCAGACCGAGTTAATTGCATCTCAGAACTCTTTACGTGCTACTTCTTTCAATAGATGTATAAAACCTGCAGTCACACTGACCCTCTAGGATCTGGATTGGACACCCTTGGCCTAAATGAATCACTCCACAGCATTACTCCAAACACAGTGCCTTCCAAATGAACAGGATAATTAAGGGGAGCAAGATTGTGGTGATATTTTATAGTTCTTGAGCTCTCTGTGTTTGTTTTTCAACTTCTCTAAACTGTAATCAGTGTTTTTTAAGTGATTCCTTCATCCTAACTAAATATATTCACACAGATTGGATTTTGTACACTTTCTACAGATATCATTCAGATTTGGAATGCTATGCTTGTGATTTGTAAACAGCACACAGAAGTGAAATGACAGAGTAGATTAACTAGAGGAAGGAAATGTGAAAGATTCAGAAACTAGCAACCAATATCATGTGATGACCCTCTGTCTTAAAATTACAAAGAAAGCATCAGAGATTAATTTGAGACATAAAGAGCAATTAGTCTTGTTCATTGATATCTCTTCAAAATAGGAGTGGGGTGATTGAATTTGATAATTACGAAATCAAAAAACATGAGGTTAAATATCAGGTTAAATTGTCTTATATTTGTGTTAAGACTGAATTGCTATTTTTTCTCCTTTGTAATTGGGCACATTACTGACAGGTGACACTAGCCATTAATTAGTGTCTTACATGTATCTCACATGTTATTAATGCAGTAATAATCTCATTTAGCTTCCAATGTGTCTTAGTGTTTTTTAGTTTCATGACTTGTTGCACAAGACAGCTAATTTGGACACAGAGAATGCTTAACATGTACAGTTACAATTCAAAGGTAGGTTTCTTACTTGACAATACAGTAAATGATTAAAACCAGAAGCTCTTTAACAGCTATATTGTTGTTTTCATGTAAAAAATTGTACCAGCTGAACAAAGTGGCTGTTTGTTCAGTAATGTATTTAAAGTTACACTGCCCTTCGCTCATTACAAAATGTACATAATGTTTTGTTGTGACATTAAAACCATTTCCTCTGTTTTACAGAGATGTATCCTCAACACCAATACAAAAACTCCCTACATCAGGCCTAGAGTCTGTGCAGATCCTAATTGCCCAGTCAACTTACGCCCTGAAGAGTTTGCCTCCCTTGAACCTGTTTTCCAGCCTGCGTAAAGCTCACTTAACATACCCCAGCCACTGCTGTGCTTTTCAGAACTGGAAAGCGAAAGAGTAAGCATATACTGTATAGGAACATTTGTATTTCAGAATGGTCTATTGTTTCAAAAGCAAAACTAGCTATTTTTAAATGCATTGCATTTCCCTTGCTTCTCAAGGATATACAGAATTACCATGTTAGTCCTTACACTTTGTCTTGAAACAAAATCTTTGTTTTTAATGTTTTTAAAGTGACAATATTTCAATTAATCTTGAGAAAATACATTTTTCTGTTTCACCTCAAGAAGCATAGAGCTATGTTACTAAATCAGGATAAAAAACAATTGTTCTCATTTAGGTAATTTAAACCTAAATCATATGCATTTAGAGTTGTAATATGAATGCAAAATTATATATCTATATATGCTTTATATATGACCAATTATTTTTCATTTTTGCATGCAATGGAAGGTATGGTTTTATTAATCATTACATATCTTCAATTTTCAGTGGTGCTCATTAATGTGACATTCCAGAATAGTTCATCACATTAGTAATTGAATTTTAATTGTTCAGTGTTTCTCCTTTGTTGCCCTTTTTGTTTATGTCTAATATATAAACTACATATAAACCTACAACTTAACATTTTGTTTACAATTGTTTGTAATTTTGTTGGGAAAGGAAGTATTTGGTGTCTAAAAACAGAACATGAATTAGAAACATTGATTAAATGGATCAGTTTTTTACGCTACTTCTATATAGTTTTGTTTGGAAAAGAAAATAGATCTGCATTTTCCATACTAAGAAAAATGCAAATAAATGCTAATTAGTAATATAAAATACAATATATCTATCATAATATATGAATCACTAGGAGACAGAATAGATTCTTTATACTGTACCCTTAGCTTTATGCCTCATTATTTACTACTATTTTAGCCCACGAAAAAAAAATCCCCTTTTTTAGAAAGGAACAGAAACTTTTGCCAAAAAGCCTTTTCTGTTTTCTAAAATATATTTTCCATTTTCTGTGCATCTAATCTCTACAGGCACAACTCTCTCTTTGCCAGCTGGGCTAACCTATCCAGCCAGCACGAGGAGGACAGAATCATGTCCCAAGTGTAAGTGCTAAGCTGAGAAGGAAGGTTTTTTTACCAGGTTTCTAAAGCTGGTTTGGAAACAGTTCTATTTATTTTTGCCTCCGTAAATGCCTTGGTAGATATTATCAACATAAACGTAACAATGTTGTATGTCAACCTGCATAAGAAATGTTTGGAACTCTAAGTGGGCCCCTTAGAATGCTTTGAGTACGAAATTTATGCTGGGTAATATGTTCTTGCTCCAGTGTGTTAACAAAGTCTCAATAAGAACATGCTTGAACAGAAACATTAATCTGTGCTGTCATTTCTTCTGGCCATTTCTCCAATCTGCTGCTATTCCTTGCTGTTTCATTTTGCTTACCCTACCAGGACTTTCCTATGTGGTACAGGAAATGTCTACAATATGTGTGTACCTGTTCTTTTTCTTTGAAGGATTCCATTTCTCACCCCTGAATCATTCAGCTCATCCCTGGTAACTCAGATTCCTGCTACAGCCAGTGTCACATCATCTGAAGAAGACAGTGAGGCTCTGAGTTTGGAATTTCACTATCCAGAATTTGACTTTAGCCAGCCCTTAAAAATCCTCCAGTGTTCCCCAAAGCCAGATGCCTTTAACCCCTGTGAAGATATCATAGGGTATGGCTTCCTTCGAGTCCTGATTTGGTTCATCAACATTCTTGCCATTGTAGGCAACCTCATCGTGCTGCTTGTGGTCATGACCAGCCAGTACAAGCTCACCGTCCCACGCTTCCTCATGTGCAATCTGGCCTTTGCCAACTTCTGCATGGGGGTACATCTCCTGATGATTGCCACGGTGGACTTTAAAACAAGAAGCCAGTACAGCCAGTATGCCATAGAGTGGCAGACAGGAGCAGGTTGCAGTGCAGCTGGATTCTTCACCATCTTTGGTAGTGAGCTCTCGGTCTATACTCTGACTGTCATAACCCTGGAGAGATGGCACACCATCACATACGCCCTGCAGCTGGAACGGAGGCTGTGCCGCAGGCAAGCGGTTCTGATCATGATGGGTGGGTGGCTTTTCTCCCTCACGATGGCCCTTCTGCCCCTTTTAGGCGTGAGCAGTTACATGAAGGTTAGCATCTGTTTGCCAATGGACATTGAAATTCTGCCCTCGCAGGCCTACATCGTAATCATCCTGCTGCTAAATGTCATTGCCTTTTTCATCATCTGCGCCTGCTACATCAAAATATTCCTGGCAGTGAGGAACCCCAAGTTCACAGGCAAGAACAGAGATACACGAATTGCCAAAAAGATGGCGGTGCTCATCTTCACAGACTTCACCTGCATGGCGCCTATATCTTTTTTTGCCATTTCTGCTGCCTTCAAATTCCCCCTTATTACTGTGACAAACTCCAAGATCCTGCTTGTATTGTTCTACCCCATCAATTCCTGTGCCAACCCTTTCTTGTATGCCATTTTCACCAAAGCCTTCAGGAGGGATATGTGCATCCTAATGAGCTGGTTCGGCTGCTGTAAAAAAAAGGCCAACATGTACAGAATGTCATTCCACTACGCAGATCATCACACCGGGAAACACAGCAGTGCATCAACAGCAAACAGAACCTCCCACATGGTGCTGAGAAACAGCCAGCATCCCCTGAGTAATAAAGGAAGAAGTCTTTAAATAATGCAGATCAAAATTAAAACAGCAGAGACCCAGAAGATCTGTATTCTAATCCCAAAGACATGCTTTCTGCTGCAAATTAAATTTCATGTAAATTAAATCTATGTTGTAGTTATGTCTGTTTTGGTCTTCTGGCCCAAGAGTTCCGTCTTAACAATACTACTGTATAAACCTTCAAAGACTGTTAGCTAAAATCAAAGCCATCAAATTTCTAGGATTCTAAAATCATTTTCTGAATTTACATATTTTATTATGTTTATCATATTGTAACATGAGATCTGTGCTCTCAGTCTGTACCATGTTATGATATTATTAAACTGTAAATATTACTTATCAAGCAGATATACAGTAAATAATATAATAGCAATACTTTAAACTTAAATGATTAAAGATATTTTGAATTGTAGCAGCAATTTGTGTTTGATTTAATATATAAGTACAGTCTCTATGTTTCAATTCAATGGTCTGAAATGTAAAAAACAGTGTGCAGTAAACAATTACTAAACAAGTTGTTACCTTCTATTGTATCTTCAGTTCCAGTACCTTTTTTAAGGATTAAAATATATAAGCTTTAATTTAAAGAAAACAATCTCAAATACAAATAGCAGTGTGGTTCATCTCCTTTATGTAAATAGTTTTTCAAAATATAAAACTGAGGTATATTTGTAAGATTAAGGAAAACAAATATCCCTTGTGTTTTTAACCAAAGCCCTGTTTTTCCCTCCTAGATGTAATCACAGAGTGTCAGGTGTTATCCTTTTGCTGGTGCCTATAGGAGAGCTAAGAGAGCTTAATGTTCCATTAGTACATTTTGACATTGAAAAGATTCAATAGAAATCAATTTTGCCCTGCCTCGTGTAGCCTGTTTTGTTGTGTCCTCCTGCTCATTTCAGTATTTCCTGTAGGTTTTGAATTTAAAACTACTATTAATGTCTAAGAACAATTTGGTTGTGCCTACAAAAACTGTACCTTGTGTAGAATGGCCATGCAAGAAATGTAAAACTCATTAGTCAGTATGAGGCGCCACATTTAAAGATGATCAACAGTGTGGATTATTAATTAAATCTTAAATCAGGATCTCCTGCACATTTTGTACTTTTCTGTGCTAGTTATTGTATTCTTTCCTGTTGGTTGTGGTGCTCTGCAAAATGTTTCCACAATATATTAATTGATGTTCACATGCTATGAACATTGTGCTATGACAGTGATCTCCATTTTTAATCAATTAATGAAAGCCAATAATAAGATGACTGAAAATAAATGAAAAAGGATAAGACTTTAAGGGACCTTTTGAATACTGACATTATCATTAATTATCATTAAACAAAGGTTAAATATTTATGTAAAAAAATAACCTACACACCTGCTAATATGCTCCATAAATATATTTGTCAATCCAAATATGGGGCAAGAGTATTTGTAACAAGAAGCATATCTTTGTTAGTAAAGAGCAGGAGCCTTCTAAAAATGTAAGTCTTATGTTTATGTTTATATCCATTACTGTTATTGCTCATTAAGATAAGGATGACCTGCCTTTTCTAAAGCTATGCTGACCTGTAAGATCCTACTGCCATACGTTTAATTCTCCAGTTTAGTTCTGGTTACCTCCACAAGCCTTCTTTCAAGAGTGCCAACCCTCAGGCAACAATGTGTAACCAAGAGGCAGCAAACCCCCAGATAACATGTGCATGTTTAAGTGGTCTGTCATTGTTCTTGACTTGCAGAGCCCCTCTGGGCTCCTACACTGTACCAATGGTCCCCTTGTGGGGAAGCCTGCTCATTCTCAACATAAGTTCATTTCTCAGAGGTTCCATCTGCAGTCATTTCAGATCCCCTGCCTCTCCTATTGATAAGATTCATTATTAGGGCCCGTATGGGTGTGTTCTATTTTAAGGCTCCAAAACCTATTACAAAAAGAAGAGCCTTTTGTTATCCTGCCTCGGAAGACCGACACACATAACCTTGCTTAGTACAGCCAGGCTTGCCCTTTCAACAGAAAATTCATGTTGCACATCTCCTCAGAGACTTTCTGGAGTTCTTTACCAAGCTTAGCCTTTTTACTCCTTAATTCCCTCAAAGACTCAGGAGCATTAAAAAAAACAATTTAAGGAATATGCTTAGTTGTGTATCTGTTATATTTCCCTGCTCTTTGATTGATAAAGAAAATCCAGAAAAAGTGCAACTTGACAAGTTCTGTTTGATCTTACTTAGTGCTGCAAACCATTAGGAACACTGCCAGCTTGTCTGCTGAGGGAACAGCACAGGAGCTGAATAACTACTCCTGTGCTATCTAAAGTAACTACAGTTCAAGTGTGTGTACGCACACTGCGCACACATGAACTCCCTGAACTGCAGGAAATTAATAAACAGAAGTCCTAGGCTTTGCACACCTGGCTGCCAATATACCCTGACTGTAGATCCCATGGAAAAAACCAACAGGACCAATCAAATTAGTTATCTTACCTTCCTGTGGCATTCCAGTCACACAGGACACTCATCAGGTGTTAGATGTGTCCAGTTTTCACTCCCAGAGGACGACATGGCCAAAGCTTCAGCCTGCAGCATCACAACTTCAGGTAACAGATGTTAAACACATTTTCTATCATTCTAAATTACTGTTCATGAAGTTATTATACTTGATTTGTGTCACTCTTTTATGAATAGTGCTACTATTTCTGTTACTATACTTTATATAAGGAAGTGCTGAATAGTATCAGGGCAGGTGGTAATAGAGAAGAGAGTTTTATAGAGTTTACATCAGAATGTAATAATAGTCAAATGTTAGTCAATCCTAGCGATTGACAAATAGCCAAAACGTAGTACAAAGAATCAATATGATAATCACTATCACATTCAGAATGGACTCAAATCTTTAGACAGAATAGTAAGAGCTCAAAAGAATAATATCTCATTACATGCTTAAACAAAGGCAAAGCGTGGTCCCCATATAATATCCATCTACAAACTATACTTCCAAAACTGACAGGTTAAAGGAATGTCAAAACCATGCCTGTACATTACAAGCACTTGAGCACACACCCTATTGTATGGGTGTGTTTCCTATAACCTGGATTGAGCTCGAGTACTTCGAGCTACAAGGTGATAGAGAGTAGACATGGAAAAACATCTGCGTGAAACGTGAACTGTACCAGAACAAGAACTTTCATCGACCGCTGAGATAAGCAAACATGCTGGTAAGTCACCTGCGGTTAATATAGTACAAAGGAACAAATAAAGGTCTATCCCGTGCTGAAAAGAGAAGGAAGAAAACACAACGTTTCGGCTGTGGAGCCTTCTTTTGGTGTAAGGTTCATTTACGTTTGACTGTTGGAAAGGTGTAGTAAATGCAAATTTCTTTTGCAGGGTAACTTAAACGTTCCCGAATTCCCTGCTAACCTAAATGCTGATCTAGAAAGGAAAAGAGGTATTATTATATGATTTTTAATATTCTATATACATAATATAGATGATAATAATATCAATATTATTATTTAACCACAGGTTCAAGAATTTGAATCCCAGAATAGAAAGTCACTGATAAAAGTATATTCCTAATATACTGTTTGATGTTAGAGTCCAAAATGTTTTTTTAGAACATTCAATTTGATAGCGTTTTTTACAGAACTCTCTTGCACTGATTTCAAGTACGATGTAGGAGGTATGATTATCAAAAACATGTACTTGACCAAACAAATCCAATGCAAGTTTATTCAATTTATTTCCACACATGATAGGATTGATCGATATTGTGCAATGACATAGAAACAAATTATATGACATATTAAATGATCTGAAAATATTCTACATTAAATCATGTGTTGTGCAACAACGAGAGCACATGTTTCTGTCATATATAGATACAATATGATGTGTTTTGTTTATGAGTGATTCTAGAAAAGGGCATCTAGGAAGTTACAGTTATGTTTTTATGTAAGAATCAAAAGACTTTAATGTAATAAAAAAAGATGAAAATAACGTAGTTTCATACTTTTACTGTAATTATGTGTTGCATGATTACGGGATTCCCATCAACAAACACACACAAAATCCCTCCCCCAAACGCGTGTCTCAGTCCAATTCACGTGACGTCACTTACCAACAACTTTAGTTTGTCCCGGAGAACGTGAGGAATGAGACCTGATGCGGACACAGCGGGAGGGGGGGAAGATCTTTAACGATTGTCCTGTTACATTGTTTTTAAGATCATGCTTCAGACGAACACTTCATGATTCCTTTTTAAACTTTCAGGGTAACATCTGCTTTCTTAACATCGTGCATAAAATAATAAAATTGACGTAGCAGTCGGACGACTCCGGCCAAACATGGGAAAACCGATCTCCAGAAGCTCCAGTCTGAGCATTGTGATGATATTTTTAAATGTTTGGATCCTATTTGGACAGTGCACAGTAGGTAAGTGATATATAAACTTTGAAACTTTGGTCTTGCATCTGTTGAGTTTAGTGTAGAAATCTGCCGAGCTAAGCGATCGTAAAGTTTAAAGGTTTGCAGGGATTAGTGTCTGAGTGGAAATGTGATGTGTGAGGCTCAGTAGTATGCTTTTTCATTTTAAAAAGAGGCATTTAATTTACTGGGCGCTCCTTTGGTGTGTTCATTTTTACATCACCCTTCTCTGTATAAAACGTCGAGGTTTTCGAGCTAAACAGTTTAAGATTGGAAAGAGAGCCTGACATGTATATTCTAATGAGCTGTGGCTCATTCATCTCGCTAGTCACAGCATCAATTAATTTAAGACTAATGCATGATACATTGAATGCAGTGCATCTAAGGCTGATTTGTTTTTTGTGATCCTTGTCTGAACATTGCTAAATGTTGAACATTGTCTGAACATTTCTAATTGCAACGAACTAAAGGTATTGCACTAACTGTGGATGATCCAGAGATACGGTACTACAGTGCTAACTAGAACGCTTAAAATTTAGTGCACCGCTCCGTATTTAATCCACAACTTCGTTGTGATAGACCCTTCAGCGACACTCAGATGCGTGCATTACCAGATGTTGCAAATATGTTAGTACATGTCAGTCTTTATTGTTTCAAAGTCATCTTTTCTGTCGCTCTCAGCATGTAAGAACTCTACTGGTGCCTTTTTATTGTACATCAAAGCACAGCCAAGTGGGAATGATTAGGTTCATTGGAAAATTGGATCCATCTTAACGAGCTGAAATAGCAGTTTCCTATTGATGTGCGTCTGAAACACGATTAAAAAAAAACAAATTAACAAAATGCAGATCTAAGGTGAGGTATATGGACAGGTTGATTCTTTGCTGACTGTTCAAAGGTTATATATAATATTGCGTGTGATAAGCAACTTTCTGAACTTTGAGTGCTTAAGCAGCTAGTTAGGCCTGCTGATGCTGTATTTTGATGAATAATGATGTGATACGAATTTCAAATGGTTATTGTGCAGTAGTATTTTCATGGCATAACTTAAATATGAGTGTCAGAAATCAGTTTGTGTGATAGATGTATCCTTCATATATCCAATGTAAGTTGATGGATGGTGTTGTATTGTTTCCTACATAATGTTTATTTATTGGAAAGTCAGTTCAGTTTGCAGCATTGGATGTATGACATAGAGTGACTCTGGTTGTTGAGCTACTGTAACATCACATCACGATGTTAGAAAACAGCAGTCATTTATGAAAGTAAACTATTTAAATCTCAAAATCTTTCAAAACACGTTTAGACCAAGCTGAGTTCCTTGACTTAAAATAGACCCCTGTACTAGAGGTATCATTAGAAAGAAAATAATGGAAGTCAACAGGTCTCACATGGGGAAATTTTGACTTGCATAAAAATGTTGACTAATATTCGTATAAGCCGAAAATGAGCAAATGGAACATTACTTCCTGTCAAAGTAATATGCTTCCTTCGATAACAGGTTTCCATTGCAGGAATGTGAGGATTTCCTTTGTGATCTAACATGAAATTGTCAATTGGATGCAGAAAAGACATGTAGCTGAAATGTTATTGCCCTTAGTCATTGAGAGTAGGAAATTATCTGGGTATTCACTGTTCAGGAATTTCAGATCTGAAGAACTGCACACACTGCAGGGAGGAGAGTGAAGGTTTCTTTTATTTCCAAAGGCAAAAAACAAATTTCTTTTTACCCAGTTAACAAACAATTCATTACCTACATATAGTGCTTAGCATCTCAAACTGCTTATCATGTAAGTGGGGACCTACTTCATCCACTACTGAAGTTCAGCCCCTACTGGGGGACACCGAGCAGACCCTCTGCTCAGCAGGTCAGGTAGAGAAATGAGAAATTACTTCACCAGGTGCATTGAAAGGAACTTTTAGGTAGGCCCGATTGTGCAGACCCCCAGTAGAAATCTCTGGGATACCAGGGTTGATTCTTTGAATTCCTGGTTCTTTAATGACCAGTTGGCAGGTCAATGTGACCACCTGTCATATATATCTGTTGTTGAATCCAATAGCATTATATTGGATTTGAGGTTGTGGCAGATTAAATCGGATCAACTCACCAGCATTCACAAGTCTAATCATTTAATTTCAGCTTAATAAGAAGATTAAATGTTTGTCACTAATGTGTACCATACATTCCTGTCATTGTTCCAGTTAACACGAGACTTTGACTTGTAATTACAGAGGGGCAGAGTAAAGGACTTGGAAATATTTCTCCCACAGCTGGGGATAGGGCCAGTGTACCTCAGTCTTGGTCACGTCAGCCCACTGAAGGAGCTCCACTGGCACCCATCACAGAGTCCCCTGTGGTGCAGAAGAAGGTCTCCAATGTCCACTTAAAGCCGGAGGACATTGAAAAGCTGAAGTTCAAGCCAACAGTGGGAAATGTGCACCTGTCGGAAGGCACAGAAGTGAAGATTAACTGCTCCATTGAGGTCCACGACATTTCTCCCAATCTGCACATTCAATGGTGGAAGGATGGCGAGGAGCTCTCGGGGAGTCAGCAGGCAGTATTGAATGACCTGCAAACCACAGATAAAGAGGTGTCCACCATTCTTTCAACACTGAGGTGACGACAACAGACTTCTCTTATTAACAGTGTTTCTCTAACAGATTTTCTCAGTTCGTATCCTGTTTTTGTTCCACCTGAGTGTAGCCATCACTAATGTTAAGCAAACCTTTAACTGAATTAAGTGTCTGATAAGACCAGCTTTTAATTAATTTCAGGTTTTCCCAAGGTATTGAGAACTAAATTAGGACTGCCATTTGCCTCACATGGGAAATGAGGAACTGTGGGCAGACTCCTCCAGTGTATCCACCTTCAAGCCACTCGTCATTTAACACAGCACAGGCTACACAGCCCTGCACTGGAGGTGCAGCTCTCTTTCACAGAACTGCCTTCAGTTCCCCAGGAGGCTGCAGGGATGGCCATCTTGCTGAGAGAATCTTAGTTAATCAATCTCGCACTACTCTTGACTGTGCCCAGTCAGTCACACACTATTTCTGGGAAACCCAAGTTTCAGACAGATAACCATTCTGGTTAAATGTTTTTGCAACAATATAGCCAAAGCAAAGTACTACTAAAGTCTCTCTCTAAGGGGAAAAAATTCTGTAAGCCTCAATCATTTCAGAGAACAGCTGTAACACATTAAGTGAGTGGCCTGTGAGGACGAGGAAGGAATGTAAGGAATGAAAACCTCTGGACACCAAACTCCTAATCAGCTGTCTTTATATTTGTTGCTCCTTTCCATGTTCTGCCTAAGCATAATAGAAACACTAGATTAACCGCATTCTTGCAGGTGTGCATTAAATTGTGTCTACTTCTGCCTGTACATAAATATTTGCTAATCATTCATATTTTATCACTGGTTACCATAGGTGCAGAAACTTTTAAATATATAAAATTCTAGAATTGTATATAGAAAGCAAAGAATTAAATGGCTGACACAAACCTCTTGACATTTACTCATTTATACTTAAATAGTTTACTAGAATGCAGTTTATTGAAAATTTCAGCAAAATATTTGGGTTTCCTAATGTAAAGGCATTTCATATTAATAGGTTTATGTGATCTTCTTAAACTATAAGTACACAACAGCAGCCCTCAAGGGCCTAAATCCTGCAGCTTTTCAAATGTCACCAAATTATAACACTTGAAGACATTTGAAAAGCATTAAACTGGTCTGGTTAAGCTATTCAGTTAGGTCATTATGTGCAGAGGTGGAAACGAAATGCACTAACATGGTGGTCAGCTTTGAATAGAGCTGTGTGCCACTGCTTTAAACACTGTGTTTTACGTCAGGGGGGTCAGACTCAATTTTTGGAAGGCCTTTGTGTGTTCTTGATTTTGTTCTACTTAAGATTTAAGATTTACAGTCGGTGTAATTGTGGTCAGTTGGTCTTTTAACCAGACTTTAAGATGTTCTATAGGTAACAGTGCCTTCTATGATGTGAATGTTGTGAGTAAAAGAAACAGTCTTAAGAAAAACCCTAGATATGTCCAAGAAAACAATTGGGTTAATTGTTCAATAGACTGCTGAGATTGCAACGAAAAACAGAAGATACTGAATCCCTCAGAGATTGAGTTAGACACCCCTGCTGTATGTCAAATAATAACATTGTATTTAAATAAGATGTCACCATTATGTGTTAATTACTGTACCTAGTTCGTCTTCTGTTGCAGTATTAAGAATGTACAGCGCTCTGATGATGGGGAATACTGCTGCATTTTGAGTATCAGTGATACACTGATAGAGTCTGATCGCATCCAGATACACATTGAAGGTGAGTTACCTTCCTGAAAGCAAACCGGGCTGTTTATAATATGTGTAACATGAATAGAAAGAGATGACTTGTGGTTATTTGTATTCAATAGGTAATATGTTTTGTACAAGCTGAATTAGTCCTGGGGCTGCATGGTGGTGCAGCAGTCAGCAGTGGTGCCTCTGAGTGCTGGACCTCAGTTCAGTTCCAGACCCGGGGTGCTATCTGTCTAGAGTTTGTATGTTCTCTCAGTGTTCGCGTGGGTTTCCTCAGGGTGCTCCAGTTTCCTCCCACTGTCCGAAGACATACTGATAGGTTAATTGGCTTCCCGGAAAATTGGCCCTGGCATGAGTGTGTGTGGCTGTCGTCTTGCCTTGCGTAGAGTGCTGGCTGGGATAGGCTCTGGCTCCCCTGCGACCCTGAATTGAAAGAGGAAGTGGGGAGAAAATGGAGGGATGAATAAAGCTTATCCTTAAAAGAGCCTTTTCTCAGTGGTGTTTTTAGGAGGCAGGTTAACAACGTGTTGTTTTATGGCTTTATGTGTAGGGTTGCCGATGTTCATTAAAGAACCAGAGCATCTGAATGTCAGCAGAAACACCCCTTTTAACCTGACCTGTGAGGCAGTGGGTCCCCCAGACCCCGTCAGGATCGAGTGGCTGCAGAATGGGGTGAAAATCAACACCCCAGCATCTTTCTCCCCTTCATATATCACCGTTCCAGGTGAGGAGTACTTCTGTAAAGAAATCCAAAATTGAATCTTTTTGTGCAGGTTATGCTTTACAAAATGCATTTGGTTGTTGTAAATTCTGTCAGAACAAAGAATCGTTTCATAGGAAGCACTCATTGGTCCAATTTGTAAATGTGTGAAGGCTGAGTTCATACATTGCTAGCATGAGTCTGTATTTGTGTAAAAAATCACTGGTTTTCTCTTATACTGGAAATAATAATATTCAGGAAATAGTTATCTTTTTGGCAGTATTGTTTATAATGTTTTAAAATGCTAGGAGAGAAGGCATGACCACATAAATGGTTGATTTTGAACTGACGCAGTGGATAATACACAGCCCTGAATTATGCTGAAGGAGTCTTTTTTTAGTAAAAATTTAGTATTTCTAGTTTCTAGTCAGTGATGACCATGTACATAAGATCCAAACTTTATCTGAAACATCCCCTTAGAAAAAAGGTTTGGGTAACTGAGACTGACATGGTTGTTAAAAGCACTGCTGCAGCTCTGTATGAGACCTTGATAAACGTGAAGGTAACTGGTAAAGGCCTTGTTAACATGAGTGCTCAAAATAATTAAAGTTATGTTGAGCTTGTAATTAATTGAGTCTTAAGATGCAAACTTAAACTGAAACTAACAAATGCTTGTATTCTCCTAAATGGAATTATCTGACATTAGGGTTTTCAGCCCTGGATTTGGGGCCCTGTGGGGTTCCTGAGAGGCTTTCTAGAGAATAAACCCTACGCTGTCACACAGTAGATGTGCTCTTATAACATTTTTTAATAATAATTATGATAATTCTTTACACTTATATAGTGCTTTTCTGGACGCTCCACTCAAAGTGCTTTACAGGTAATGGGGACTCCCCTCCACCACCACCAATGTGCAGCCCCACCTGGATGATTGTTTGTGGATCTGTTGACCAAACAGCTTTTCTTTTAATATTTAGTTGTAATAGCTTTATTTACACAAGCTCTAAACTTAAAATTGAAAGCATGTGTGAATAGAGAATTACTGAAATTACTTTGTTTCCTGAACAGGCTCATTCAGCCAGAAAGGTTGAAAAACTCAAGTAATTGTTTCAGTGTTCAGGCATGTAAAAAGAGAGATTGTTGTGCTGTGGAGTTTGGAAAATGCCTTGCTGAGTGGTGTTGGCAGTGCAGAGGTCAGGCCTGTGCTGTTTGTTGGAGGAGGTGGGTAGACATTGGGACAAAAGCCTTATTCATGAGCCTGCCTGCCATGCCTCTCATTACCAGACTTAGTCTGTCTCAGAGGCCAGTGGTCTGTAAAGATGTTGCTCTGTGCTGTATACAAATGCATAACTGCAGGTCAAGGTAGCACGAAAAGATCTAAACGTAGAGTACCTGAGCAGTACGGTACAGTGGAGTTATCAATCAGTGGTTGCCAGTGAAAGTCTGTTTTATCACAGAGTCCGGAAGGGAATTCCAGTTCTGTGTGCTGAAGTCCTAATTATTGTTATTTCTCTGCTCAGATGGTTACATAACCTCATTAACTCTGAGGGTTTGGGAACTGTTTAGAATTAAGGAGCAAGACAATGTTATCAACTCACACATCCTACTGAAGGATGGCAGATGTTTGAAGCATGACGTGATAAAATATACTGGCCAGCAGAATTTTCCACACTACCCTGTAATTTATTCAAAAAATGCTGCAAAACATTACAGATGCTAAAGGGTGCTCTTAACAGGGAATATATTTTACTTTTTTTTTCAATTAGTGTAGTGGAGTTTTAATCCTTTCCACAAAAGGATCTGGAGAACAACATCTTGAAGGTCAATAAAAGTAGTAGATAACAGAATAAAATGAGCAAACAAGCTAAACAAATTTGGCTCATAAAGTATTCTCCTTTTGATATGTCTGTGCAAAGTCAAACTGTTCTCTGAAGATCTCTGAGTCTAGAATTCCTTGAGTGTCCTTGAGATAACCGTGTGCTGTCTATTGTCGGGTTTCTTTCCTTCTAAGATATGACCCAGTCACTGGTGGACTGGAGCGATTCTACATTTGTAATGCCAGCGTCACACTACATGACTCGACACGGCTTCTAGTCAGAGGGCATGTCAAAATTATCGACTGCAGTTGCTGAATCTCTCTGCCTTTTCTGTCCTAGAGGATGTCAAATTATACGATTAGGAATCGCAGGCGGTGACTAATTACACGATTCTCTTATGACTTTTCATTGTATTGCGTCGGGACCAATCAACATGGAGCACACCAGAACACACATCATGCTGTGACTCTCTACATATGCAAATGCATATAAAAAGGCATATTTTGACCATTGATATAGTTTTAAATTTGTATTGCAACCCAAACAAGATAGATCTTGACCAATGTAAGCATTTGTGTTTTTTTTTTGGTCTCGGAGAGCTGATATGTTAAACTCATTTCCTGAAGAGCCTCGTGTCTTCTGCTTTTTGATCCATGTGGCTTCTGGTGACTTCCAACCAGCCCCTGATTAGTTTTGTGGAAAATGGTACCTTTAATGACGTGAATTTGTGGATTAAGTTAAAGTGTTAAGTAAACAACTAAATATTTTGAGTAATTAACTGCAAAAGTCCTAAAGAAAAACAATTGAGAAAATAATTGTTTAATAGACTACTCTGATTGGGTTAGTCAGAAAAAAATCAGAAGATACTAGGCTACCTGCTCTAGAGTTTTCTTGCAAGATTGTAATAAGAATTTTTATGCTTATCATCCTTTGAGTTACAATTGACACCTTAAGTGGTATAAAGCATAAGATCCTTATACAGCAGTACATTTCTGTTCTCTGCTCCTTGTTTCTACTTGTTATCTATGCATAGTATAGTCTCCAGCTTTGATTACCAAACTGTTTTCAGAGACCTAAAATAGATGTGCAAGGTCTAGCTGTTTCATTTGGTGTTTTTGGAACAGAAGCAGCTGAAAATTGCTGTCTAAGGGAAAACATCTGTTTTAAAAAACCAATGTGTTTTCAGTAGGTAATTTCACTCTATATTGTGTTAGCTTCCATCCTCACAGAAGCATGTCAGGAAGTTCAGTTTTGTCGGTGGTTCGTGATGTAGATCCACATATTTGAACAGCTTTAAAATCGCAGTACTTTTCTAGATTTCTAACAGGCTTCATACTGCCTGACTTCACAAAAATGTTTACTGTCAAAAAAGCTTCAAAACGTAAGCTATAACTTAGAGTAAATGTTTTAACTGAAATCATTTGGTACCTTTTAATTAAAAAAATATATATTTTAGTGTATTCTCTTTTCACTGTTAAGTGATGCTATACATTGTGTATGATTCTTAATTTAACTTTAATTTCTTAATAAATAATAACTATTTTATTGGAGCTGGATTTTTCCATTTCCATAAAAGTATGCTTTTAATAAGGATCATATACACAGGCTTTTTCTCTACAAAACTGGTCTAGCAGTGATGCAGAAGAAAAAGATTAATAGAATTCTTTAGAAATTAGCAAGAGGTGTCACAAATTTCAATAATACTTTGCTAAAATGTGTAGTTGCTTCTGCCATTAATGGTTCACCTTATAAGTAATAAAAGAACAACAATAATAGTAACATTTTTAATAAAACATTTAAAAAGATTTAACCATCTTAAGGGAGGTTTATATTGTCCAACAGTTAAGAATGATTGTTTTGCTGTGAAAGAAACAATGACGTTGTAAGATTTCTCAGAAATTTATAATTAAAACATCTGGAACTATTGACATTAATATCACAAGCAAATAAATGCTACTATACTGTAAAATGAATAATCCCTGGCTTTGTTAAATGATTCTCAGCAACAGATTTAGGAGAACAAATAGCACATTATAAGCCTTACTTGCCTCCTTGGAAAATAATTGTGGGCAATTATAAGCCAGAAGTGGAATGACTGGCACTGTGTGGGTTATGTTAGAGTAATGGAGCTGACCTGGCACTGGATTAGCGAACATTGTCTTGCAGTCATTGAAAGAGGCAAATATCAGAACACTTACGGAAGAGTCCCACACAGTCCATTACTGACCGTTCAAGGTTCAAGCCCTGAGCATATAAACCTGCGACCTTTCTTGTGTTTTGTGCTACTGTTTATGCCAACTGGGAAATAGGAAAAAGGGGTAATAAGAAGAGGAAGGAATAAAAGATTGCATTGCCTGTGTACCTCTAGGACTATATTTATGAGAGAGCAGTTATTGTGGAGGATATGACAGATTCAGGAACTCTAGGAACATCCAATGACAGCTGGGAATGTGAGGTTTAAGGGCACAGCCTCCCACTCTCATTTCCTTTATCTGATTTCCTGCATGTTTAGGGTATGTAAACACAGGAGTTCTATCTTCCATCCTCCTACAGCTTTTATTTTTTGTTCTTAATGTCTCCACCCTGAGGACCTCACTCTAAACCCTCTGTACCATTTCTGGAATGTGTGCACGCCATCTCCCACTGACTGCATGTACCTTTCTCAGGGGCATTCTGTTAGTATCTGGTAGTTGTATGGTAGCTGAGCCAACAGAATATAGTGCGTGTGTGGGAGATTAATAGTCTCACAGCTCCAGCTTCCCAGATCAATTCCAACTTCCTAAAGACATGGCTGGCTAGGTTTGACTGTGAATTCTATGTGGCCATGTGCTGGACTGGTATCCCAGAGTCAGTCCTGCCTTGGCACCCTGTGTTTCTGAGATAGGTGTCAGCTTTGCGTCAGTATCCTCACAGAACAAGCATCTTTCTGCTGAGGGATACATAGAAAAGTGATAAACATTTATTCCTTCCTCTTGTGGAGAAGGACTTGCATCTAGCAATGACAAGAAGGTTTCCATTACTTTACTTTTCTAACAGATATTTTTCCAAACTGGGTAGACACCTTAAGTCATTAGGTTGCATTTAATGTACTAAAGTACAGGGTATTACATGCTAGTAGCAGAAATGTGTATTGTGTATGTGAAAGGCATGATACTGAGCTTGAAGAAGCTACTTAAGATAAAGAGGTCCTCTAGTTAGAACTACTAGTTTTTACTGCTTTAGTTAAAAAGTAAAGCGGCATAGAATTAATCTTTTTTAATACCTGCTTCTTAGCTGCATGATGAGCAAAAGGTTCAAATATAACAATACATTGCTGTAACTGTGGTATTCAACTTTTAACAGACCAATAATGCCAGAAGGGTTAACATACTGAAGTAAAGAAAGAGCTAAATCCTCACCCTTTGCCCTTCCTCACAAACACATACCCACCCTTAGAAACAACACGTGTTTTGCAGAAGTGAAATAGTTGATATGCCATAAACAATGCTTGCATCCCATGTTTTACTTAAGTGAGACAGAAGCAAATTAATATGGAAGTTAAACAAAAATGTGTTTAACAGAATTCTTAGGTAATGTTAATTTCTGTTAATCACTGTCATATTACAAGGTGAAATGCTGATTAATTTTCCTGTAAAAAAGTATTTTTATTCAAAATTTATTTTTTGAAATACTGATTTTTACCTATTTTTACTAAACATCCCAATAATTAGGAGAACATAAATGTTTGGGAAATATATAAACTAATAAAGCAAGTATTTGAGGAAGTACAGGGGAATTTTACTGAGGAAATGAATGTTGAAATCACTGATTTACTCTACATTAGCATCTCAGACCATCTGTGTTTCTGCTTGTAAATGTATTTTTTTAATTTAATTTGTATTCTCAGAGCCATGTCAATGAAAAAAAAACATGAGCTTGTACAGGTTTTTTTTTAAAAATCTTGAAAAATTCATTTTTGTATATGTGTTCAGAGATTTGTTTGTAAACTACTTTCAGCCTTCCAAACCTGCTTTTATCAAAATCACTTGCTTTGAGTACATTCTTCATAACCACAGCATCAAAAGAAAATACAGTAGTATCTCCTGTCTCCTTGCGTGGAAGAGCCCTTTTTAAAATAGTCTGTAAGACCTGCTTTTTGTTGTGTCATATGTCCTCAGGTATAGAGGAGGCAACACACTTCAGTTGTGAAGCACATAATGACAAGGGACTTTCTACTTCAAGAGAAGCACAGATTAACATCAAAGGTAACCACAATGCTAATAACCAAAGATATTTCTTTCCTGCAGTGAAATTATTTATTGTACCTGAAAAGGTGTTAGTTTGCCTGAATTTACAGTCCATTCGTAAATTAGTCTTTTGCAAAAGCCAAGGAAGGTTACATGCATTTTGATTTTTTACCTGCATTTTTTTTCTTCTGAATGTAGAAGCTCCTTCACCACCTACTGATCTGTGTGTGACAGCCCGAGCGTCTCACAGCTTGCTTCTGAAGTGGACACCTGGTCATGATGGCTTCTCTCCTCTTAGCACCTGCCAAGTTACAGTAAGCCTTTCTTGAAACTGTGAGCGTATAGGGGCCCCAACAGCCTCAATTATTCGAGCAAAGCTTGAGCCTGGCAGTCCAGCTGTCTGTGGGCATAGCCATTAGCTAACTGTACCCACACAGCCCACTCGGGATCCCCTGAGTGACAGGTTCCACGCCCTGACTTGTGCCACTTTTGGGTGGGTTTGAGACGGTATTCTTTCCACACTAGCACGTCCACTCCTGGGAACTAATGAACTCTTGCAAGTCTGCAGAGTCGTGAGACATACCAGTTCCCCTTTAAAGCTCCATGGCACTCACATCATGTCAAATGATGAATGGCTCTCAGGGGTAAAATATTTCAGTAATGCTCAGTTGGTGAAGAAGGTCTAACATTTGCGTCAAGTGTAATGCTAAGCTGAGTTGAGTTCCAAGTTGGGAATATAACATTTTTATAATGTTCTATGTTCTGTGATTATTATCAATTCCAAAAAAACAGAATTATGAACCAAACATGTTTGTTCTGTTTTGTGGGAATGTTAAATCTTTAATCATGCTTTTCAAGGTGGAACAGATCCAAGAGGTTGTGATTCTAGATGGCGTCTCCCAGAGAATCATGAACATCTCTGTGCCACCCTTTGAGTGCAACATCACGGGTCTCCAAGCTGCAACCTTGTACAATATCAGTGTGTCCTGCAGGAACGAAATTGGATGGTCCCAACCCAGCTTTTGGATTGAAAGCAATACCACTGAAGGAGGTAGGGAAATTCCTCCATGCTTGCTTATTTAGAGAATTGAAAAGCCCTGTAGTTCCTGTAACAGGCTGGGTCTCTTACCATTATACTCCATTGTCATTATCTCAGAACACTTAACTCCTAAACGGAAGAGTTTCAGAGTCAAAGCATGCTGTTTTAGGGTGGAGTGACTTTAGATTTCCTTTGTATTCCTAGAGGCACAGAAGTTATTTTAAGCAGCTGATGGTGATGTTTTTGATTCATCCTGGAAATGTATTAGAGTCTGTTATGATCCTATTAGTATTTTTAAAGAATTACTTCGTTGTCATTTTGGATTTTGGCTAATGGTTTTACCATAAAAGGCTTAAATCTTAGCATGGCTTAATGTTTTTATGATTATTTTTCAAAGACTTTGTTTGCGCATCATCACTGTTATGAATGTTTTATTCTATGTTTAATTTAATCTGTAGAAGACGTTAGTCTACAAAATTGAAATAAGGATTGTGAGCTTGTTGCATGGTGTCTTTATAAAGATACCCTTTAAACGTGTGCTGGCACAAGTAGCACAGACTGGTTACTTCACAGGAATGGGGTTTGTCTCCGTTTCAGTTCCCTCTGTACCCCCGTGTAATGTGACGGTGCTGCTCAGTGGGTCCGAGCTGTTGGTGACGTGGGAGAGCCCTCCGAGAGACAAAATGAATGGAGTTCTGCAGGGATATGACCTCCTCATCAGCAGTGTGGCAAAAACATATACTGTAAGCTATAATACCAACTTTGTAAAACAACTTAATGTACAAAAATCTTAGTACTAGACTTAAATATGCTACTTTGCTTAATTGAGTATGTGCTGCGTTCTCACTGGTGACTATGTGAGAATTCGCCATTGAATAAAATGTTGGATCTCTGCAAGTCACAAGCATGATTTCTGTGAGGTTTTGAAATATTTTTGCTGAAATCTCTTGTATTCTTTAGTAAGGTTACTTTAAGTTGCATTGTGGAAGGTGATGGGGATGTTACGTGGGATTCAGCTGTGTGTTCTGTCATGCAGGTCCGCTGGCTGTCAGTCTGTTTGAAATCTGGAGACTGTTCCACACAGGAGTGTGCTGGAAGTCTTGCTTACGATCCATTGGGTTAATTTCACTGGGGGTTCCTAAAATTTTGGACAGCAAGAATAAGAGATGTAACAGGAATTCATTTCCGTGTGCTCTGTAGAACATGTTCATACATATAAGTTATATTTTCATAACTTGTTAACATATAATTTATGTAGTAACTGGTTTCAGAAATCCTAGTCAGGCAGCAGGACTGCAGAGTAGCCCTTTGCTTTCACCTCCCTTCATTCAGAAAGGTGGACTCTGGTATTCCCCACAGTGTATTCGAAGACCTGATTAAAAGGGTAACCTAAATTTAAGTTTGTTGCTTTGATCCTTCTATTCACCAGCTTTTATTAACACAAAAATAAAGTCCCACATATCACACATCGTAAAGAGCAAAGGGGTTTTATGTTTTATTTCCCAATCTGTAAGAACTGAAATCTTGTGATAGCTGTTGTTGTTTTTTTGTGGCTTTTCTTCAGTAGGACAAAAAATAGTGCTGACGCCCACATTCCTTTATTGAAATGAAGTCTGACTTCCTTGTTCTTGTCTCTCTAACGTTTTTTAGGTTTGTCATCCTTGAACATATATGCCCCTAGTTTTGCATTTCACGATACATTCGTACTTTGTAGAACATCCATTTTTGGGGAGTACAATACAGTCTATTTTGGGCAGTCTAGTGACAGGGCAGGCTAAGAGCTATTAAACATTTTACTGTGTCCAAAAGAAACAAATCCTGCAAAACTGAAATTTAATGTAGACCTACAATATCTAATCAGTCTTCGGATTTCTTTAGTTCTTTAAACTAGTACTTCTTGATTTGCTGCATGTTTTCAGTTCTGTTTATGATAAATATAAGTCAATTATTAAATAAGTTAATTTGCTCTCCATTGAATAGAAATGTCCTTTTAATGAGCGTTCTTTTTCTTAAAGAAGGGCTGGACAGCTTTCGGGACTAATGGAAAAGTAAAACATTTTCCGCATCCTGGAAAGATTATACTGCTGTAACATACAGGAGTTTGGGGAGAGCTGTTATAGAATCCAGTCTAAAATATAAGTCATCAGTACCTTATCATTATTCAGCATCTTGACTCATTTGTTACAAGAAATATTTTGTAGTTCAAATGATTTTTAAAAAATAATTTGTCATTTTTTATTTGGACTAGCTGTGAGGTTTGGATCTTATCCAGTGCTAGTAAGCTTAGAAATGGTCAAAAAGTGTTTCTGTCTGCAAGAATTATAGGACATCTTGATTATTATATCACCTAATTGTTTGATCAGTTTATGTGTTAACTGTTAAATCCCTTTTTTCTTACATATGTTGTTTATTCATAAAAAAAGCATTATTCAGTATTTGATTCATCAAATAATTTTAATACTGTCCTCTTCACTTGGACAAAGGCACCGTGAAGACACCAAAACAATTGACAATATTAATAGGTGCAGGTAGATAGCGATGATAAATATGGATAAAATGTAGAGCTTTCCTTTTCAAGACTGATATCTTTTAGGAACACATTTGATGTTTTTCACTTGTTTTCATAATAATAACAGCCACCTTTATTCTTTATTCACTTTTTATTGTACATCATCTCAGGATATCTTACTCACTAAGATTTGAAACATTAGTAAGATTTTTCACTTTGAGTTTTACTAAGCTGGTTTTACTTTTAGCTGTCTCTCGACCACAACTTTTAAAGTGTGTCCAAAACCTAGTTGGTGTTTAGAAAGCTGATGTTCTGCCGTGTACTGATGCCATGTGCCATTGCGCACTTGTTTTGGGTGCTGGCAGGAGACCCGGCATGCTAGGATTCACGGTTTTTGTCTGGGGAGATTAGGCGTCTGTGTTTTGGTTTCTCCTCACTTGCTAACTGTAAGTTGAGCTCGTTTGCCGGAATTCCGTGGCACAGCCCTATTGTGCTGACTGAAAGTCATTGTGTGCATGTTAATGTGCTGTTTAAGGTCATCCAATTGAATTCTGCTTGAGTGGGGATAGGGAGTGAATTGATGATGCGTGGAATTTTACTGCAATCTGTGAATACAATAATATTATTGAAATATAAAGAAATAGATGATGTCATGCGCAATTTGACTTACAGTGCCTGTTTTTTGTTTTTAAGATACAAGCTCATGTATTTTGCCCCAGAAAAAATGGCTTCAGCTAAACATATAAGTAATAAGTCATGTTTTCAGTACCTCTGTAATCCCTGTGGCAGTGATAGAGAAGGAACAAGCCTGAGCTGCTTCCTCCCAGCTTCCCAGAGCAGCACATTTCCTTTACACTTGTCTATTGTAAAGAGGAAGTTTGCCCTATTAAATTAGTTTTTAAGCTGATCGTAGCTGACTCATATGAGAATGAATGGAAAAATAAAAACAATGGACATTATGAATTCAGTGCTCCTACTATGATTTAAACAGTGTAATCCGTGTGGTGTAAACAGTGATTCACATGGATCAGAGTGAAACATGAGGAAATGTGGATTAAGTTTAGCCCATTCCTGAAAGTCACCTGTGATCTACAACTGGAAAGGGCTGTGACAGTTACACAAACATCTTTGTCCGCCTAATAAAAGTCTTCTAAATTTGTGAGTTTTTAAGACACTGAAGGAAATTTCTGAAGGAAATTGAATTTTTGCACTCTCTGGAACAAGTCGTACCTGATTAGTCTTTTTTTGTTTAGTAATCTAATAATGCCGTTGTTAATAATGCAGATTGAAATATTTACAGAGATCAAGTGTGGAAACTAACTTAATACATGTAAATATTTTTTATGTCTTTTAAACTATAAAGAGTTTTAATTAGACGTAATGAAAAGGGCTTTTCTTTATCTTTATCGAGACATTCTAGACATGATAGGTATAAATATTGCCTCAAGATGCTTTGATGAGAGTTTAGTATAGAAGTGTTGAGTACCCTGACTCAGTAACCTACACCTCCATTTCTGTCCATGCAGTCAGCATGTCTGTGAGGAACGCCAGCACCGAAAGTGTGATGACATTAAGCAATGAGCATTTCATTATCACATGCTGTCTCCTCTGCCTCTGCACACATGGCACTGTTCCTGTTTTCTTTTTTCACAAGCAAAAAAAAAAAACAAGCATGATTGTAGCGCATATCCGTTATTAGTAAATTAATCTAAATGCTGGCCTCCTTTCACTAGACCACATCTTGAGCAGTGTTTAGAAGGCTCACGGCAAACCCACCAAGATTATTTCATTGCCCTAGCTTTTTCCATTGGAAAAGAAACTGCTCAAAAACTAAATGGTTTTGGCTACTTCTCATGACCACAGGATTTTCCCATTCTCCTTTCTGTTGAGCTCTTAATCGTCCAAAGTAATTATTTGCTTAATTACCATTGAAACACATGTTTTGGCTCTTAAACAGCTAAAATATGCTGGACACGAGCCCTTATAACCAGTGTCAGCCTCTCCTCCTTTTAGCTGAATCTAATTCTTGAGTGCACTCTTTGTTTTCGGATTTTTTTTTTTTTTTGGACTGCTGTCTGACAGATGAAAAATGCAGGATAAACATTTCTGATCACGGAAAGACAAATTTTAACGAGACTCTTCAAATTTTACCCAAATTCACATATTTGAAATTATTTGCAGGGTATTGAATAATTTTTCTGTTTTCATAGGTCCGCAAAGGGCTTGTCAAAGCAACTAACATTTCCTTGGAAACTTTCAACATGACCTACAGTGTTCAAGTGGCAGCATATACTCAAGGGGGGACAGGCATCTTCAGTGATGCGGTGCAGGTCTTTTTACCTGAGCGTGGTAAGATAATTAAGAGCCTTAGAGGAATTTATACTTGTATTATTAACACACAATAATAACTGTCTGGAGAACACAGCTGCTTGTAGATTCTGGCTGTTTATGAACAGAATAATAGATAAATGCAGTCCCAGAGCTTGTGTGCTTTGTATTTGCAATTTCTCCTTTGGAGAAAAGAAGTGATTGGCTTTCCTCTGTGTTACAGACCCCAGGTTGGCTCCATCTTCTCTTCCCCCGACTGGAAGCTCCAATGCAGTGTACATTGTCTTGGGCATTGTGTGTGGCATCTGTCTCATGATGCTCATCTTGTGCTTGGCAATTTTTATCAGGAACAGATCCATGGACACCAGGTTTGGGTAAGAGAAATCTGAAATCAAGAATTCAGAATTTTGAGTCCTTAAGTCCATCACCAGTTAGAATCTGGGAAATGTCATTAGTCAGTTATAATAGGACCCCCGTAAACAGCAATGTTCAATTGTCCACAAATCTGGGAGAATTGTGTAGACTTGTTGGTGCAACTTGCTGAGCCACAGCGACACTAGTTTGACCTGCCATGCCTTTAAGCTTGTACACATCCTTTTGTTGGTAGGTCTGATGCTCGTACTGGGCTGCGTGTTGGGTGGACATAAAAAGTTAAAAGCAACAGGTTATGAGTTTTTTTTTTAAAAACAGTGTTGGTACAATAAAGCACCAAGCTTCACCTTTCATGTTGTAAGAATATTTTTCTGAAGTAGTCTCTATTTTGAACACGATTTCAGTTGAGTTGTACTGTGGCTCAGAGATCTTGTCAAGTCATCATCACAAGGATGATTATTTCACAGCATGCTTTTTAACGTCTCTCTGTGGCACCAAAGGTTTGTTCTGAATTGTTTTTTTTGTTTTTTTTACTATTGGCTAATCTTCTTATGAGGCTGGATAACCAGATTTTATTATTCATTTACACAGATGTCACCCGGAAGCCTTTCTGCTTAAAAAAAATGTGCGCGTATGTTATCAAGTTTTATATTACATACATTTTTCATGTAAGTGGTTATCAAAATAGGATGAATTAGTGGAATCAGTTATTTTAATGAAGGATGATTTGGACATTTAACAATTAGTTTCTCAGTCACAGTCATAGCAGCGTGCACTTTTTAATCGGTCAGCTTGCTCTTTAAAGAACATCAGCCATTGCAGATGTGCTTGGTCATGTAGAATGTTCGTGCTGGACCTCCTTCATCATTCCAGATGAAAGAAAAAATGAGGTGGCCAGGATTCCACAGGACGCAGTTGTTGGTCAGAATTCTCTCTTCCTGCTTTTGTCATACAGTAATAACAGTTCTGGAAAGATGGTCAGTTTCCTCAATACGGATTCCTATTGCTGAAAGGATTGAGTGCAGCAGAACAGTGAATTTACTCCAGACTGTTTTCTAATAATGGCAAAGCACTTCCTATAATTACTGCCCACACCTGCGACTGAAAAGACGTCATGGCCTTGGAGTTTTTTTCAGCTAAAGTTGGTCAAAAATGAAAAACAACCCATTTTCTGGAGTGACTCAGGACAAGCGACGCTCTGACTCATAGTTGCCATTCAGGATACTGATAAGGGAACTTCATCATGCAGCTGTTTTGTCACGTCAGCTGTTTACTATAAAACACAGCCATTGAGATGGCATTTTGCCAGGTTTCAGTTTTACTATTAAAGATGAAGAATGGCGAGGAGGAAGCGCACTTGTTAGAGTAAAGGTTTTCTACCAGGAATCAGGTGACCCCTGGGGGCTGTCCGACACAAAAGGAAAATTGTTCACCTTGCTTTTATACAGTGCACATGCTCTGACCACACTCACCATGGACCTTTTGATCTGCAGCTCTGCTTTTAATGTTCTAATTCAATCTCAGGATTAATAACAATTGTAAAAATCAGTGCATACATGAGTGGTAACATTTTTTTTTAAGAAGTGTCAGTAACACATGAGAAATACCTTTGACTGTCCCCACAGACGAGTTATTGGAAACGGAGAAGAGATGCAGCCAGTCATACTGTACAGAGCCAAGAGATCCTACAACCGGAGAGCCATTGAAATGACATGTAGGTTATTGGTATATGTAATTCTAATAATGTAATGGTACATTAAGTATAATGCGTACGAATTTCCTAATAATAATATTTATAATTGACAAAATAAGTTGATTGTGGCAGAAAGATAGTGCAGTGGTTAACATTGTTGCCTTGCAGCGCTGGGGCTCTGGGTTCAGTTCCGGACCTGGAGTGCTGTCTGCGTGGAGTTTGCATGTTCTCCCAGTGTTCGTGTGGGTTTTTTTGACGGGTGCTCTGGTTTCCTACCATGGTCTGAACACATACCGTTAGGTAAATTGGCCCTGGTGTGAGTGTGTGCATGTCTGTGCTTGTGTCTGTGTGTGCCCTGTGATGGACTAGAGCCCCTCATGACTAGTGTACCCTGCTTTATACATGGTGCCCCTGAATTGGATGAAGAAGTGGAAGAAAATGGCTTGATGAATAACAAGCTTATTATTATTCATGCAGTGTGTTTGCAATGTTTTCTCCCCTGCAGTAAGCAACCTGGGAATTAGCGAAGAATTGCAAGCAAAATTGCATGATGTCATGATTGAGAGGAGCTTACTTTCAATAGGAAAAATCCTTGGTGAAGGTAAGAATTACCCACTCTCACTGTTATCTTACTGGCTCCAAAGCTGACTTCATCTTTTGGCATTATTTTATTTTGAATTTACATTTTGCTTAATCCTCTTGTTCAGCTGCATTTAGAAAATGTCAGATTGGGGAGGAAAACAACCTCTTCTAGTACTTGTATAAAGTATTTGAAGGTTTATTTAATCCATTTACTCTATTTTTTGAGTGCTGGAAGTAGTCAGGATTGTCTGATTCATTTCCACTTTTAGTGAAATTTACATTTATTAGTTAAACTTGGAGGATGGAGATTTACATTAACAGAGTGCCTTATTTTACAACTCTGTTTCCCTACAGGAGAATTTGGATCTGTAGTGGAAGGTCATCTGAAAAGGACTGATGGAAGAAATGAAAAAGTAGCAGTGAAAACTATGAAATGTAAGCCGTGTTCTGTCATTAAGGTTTCACTAGCTGTCTAACCTTGGCAAAGATGCAGTGGATTTTGTTAAAGGAGAATTTTAATGCCATTTAAAAATGAGGTTCTGGTGATGCTGAGATGATTGAAAAGCTCATTCATTCTTACAAACTCCTATCAAAGATATTCACAAAAAAGCTATTTTAGAATTCCATTTGATAAAACAATTATTGCTGTAACATCTGAAATGTATACAAATCCAGTTGAAACTGGATCTTAAACTTATTTTTAAGATCAATCTAAATTCAAAAGAATATATTCCAAGTAAAACCTCTTCAAAATATAGTCTGGTATAAGTTGTTCTCTTTTTAAGTGTTGCTGCATTTTAAGGTGTCTGCACACCCCCTTTTTAATTCATTACGTACCGAGTGTTTTCAGATTCTTTTACTTTTAGCAGCAGAAGTATTATTATTGTGCCTTTTGTTCTTGTAGTGGATAGTTTCTCACAGCGAGAGATTGAAGAATTCCTAAACGAAGCTGCCTGCATGAAGGATTTCCACCATCCCAATGTCATCAGCCTGCTCGGTAGGTGGGAACAGTGTTCAGTAACTGTGAGGGTCGAGAAAGTAATAGAAATCAGCAAATGCTTTGGGGGTGATGATGTTTTTGTTGAGAATGAATAAAAGACAACATTTTGAACTCTACAGAGTAATCAATGGATATAAGTCCACCTATTACAGTGCTCTTTTTTTTCTTTCTGTAGTTTTATTTATTATTATGTGGAGAAATATTCTTTATTTCATGCAGGCGTATGTTTGGACGTCAGTTCCACCCACTTCCCCAGACCTATGGTGATCCTGCCCTTTATGCAATACGGGGATCTTCATAGCTTCCTACTGCGGTCACGACTGGGAGACAGTCCGCTGGTAATGCCTGCTTTTTGCTGATGTATTTATTTGACGAGGATTGTAATTTGGCAGCTTCTGCTGGTGGTCGAAGATGATGGAAGGCGATCTTAAGCTTTGAAAGCCAAGACAGTCTGCTTGTTTGAGTGGGGGTGATGCTTTCCCCAGTACAATGTGTTCTAGATCTAATTTAAGATCATATAAAATAAAAGAATCGTACCGAATGGCACGGCGGCTCAGTGATTCAGCTGGGGCCCTTGGTTTAATTCCAGACCCAGGGTGGAGTTTGTATGTTCTCCCTGTGGTCACATGGGTTTCCTCTGGATGCTCTGGTTTCCTGTCACAATCCAAAGACGTAACAAAGACATACAGTACTGATAAGTTAATTGGCTTCTGGGAGAATTGGCCCTGCTGCGAGTGTGTGCGTATCTGTGTCTGGTCTGCAGTAGACTGGCGTCCTGTTGTATCCTTGAGACTGTGGCTTGCTGGGATAGCCCCCAGCTTCCCTGAGACCCTGAATTGGATGATTGAATTGGCCCTTAGAAAATGGAAGGATGATTCTTACTGTCAGGTCACATAGTATATATGTAAAACCACTCTTAAAGTTTTGGAAAGATGACATAATGTGTGAGGAGTTTGCTTGGTGCAGAAAAAAAACAAATGTAATCTTAACAAAAATGCAATATGTGTGGTGGAGAGCAATAGCAGATTGTGCTGTCTGAACGGGTGAGTTTTGAGGAGATGCTAGAAGCTGATAAGTGAACATAGTTTACTCATTATCTATCAATTGGCATTGAACAAAGAACTACCAATGATGCTAAGCCACATTTGCATGTATTAGCAGCAGAAAAGTATTGTAACGCATACGGCCATCAGGGTGTGTAAGAGCCGGCTTACCAGAGCAGGTGACGTCGCCGCCCTTCCCTGTGATAGCAGGACCACAGCCCCTGGGCTGTGGAGAGATCTCGCTTTAGCTCACCGGGCTGGGTCCCTGTTGAGTGACGCGGGAGTCCCGGGTTCGATGGTGGGGGGCCGACCTGATGCAGCAAGGGCGCCCGCCTGAACCCCCGTTGCGTTACAGTATGATGTAGATTACTTAGGTGAAGCATTTTGTAATTAATACCGTATATACTGGGCATTTACAGTGTGTCTGGAAATTGTAACTGGAAGTTTGTCTTTACACTCACTGTGTGTATTTTGTTAATTTGATTGACTTTTTAATCATTTTTTTTTAGTACTTACCACTGCAAACGCTGTTAAAGTTCATGATTGACATTGCCCTAGGAATGGAATACCTTAGCAGCAAGAATTTTCTCCACCGGGATTTAGCTGCAAGAAACTGCATGTAAGTCGGAAGACATGCCTCGCTATGCATTTTGAACCAACACGATTGCCTTGTGAAAATCTCAATTTTGTTACTATCTGAAATACCACAATAATTCAGCAATGAAGGAATGAGCTAAAAAGCACCTAGATAGACCGATGTATCTGATAATGACCCATTACATTACATGAGTCCTTATTTTAGTTTCCAAACCGTAAGCCGTTAGATCAGAGAGAAGAGAAGTCCTTTTAACTTTTTTCTTCAGCTCCATAGTGGAGGGAAAGACCTATAGTGAATTAGTGACTTTGAAATAGGGCAATCAAGGAAAAGTTCAGTTGTGCAGTCAGAACAAGCCAGTGTTTTGACAAAAGTCATTTTCCAGCTATATAGAAAGAAGAGCAAACATTGTTTTGGTTTTGGGGGAAAAAACTTTCTCTGTCTTTCATTTTTGTTCACTATGTTCCCCTAAAACCATTTATTTGTCTCTCCGCTGTTCTGCTTAGCTTCAATCATGACAAGTTTTCTTGATCCATATTGCAGGTTGCGAGATGATATGACTGGCTGTGTAGCAGACTTTGGCTTGTCAAAGAAGATCTACAGTGGAGATTATTACAGACAAGGAAGGATAGCAAAGATGCCTGTTAAATGGATTGCAATTGAAAGTCTAGCAGACCGTGTTTTTACTGTCAAGAGTGATGTGGTAAGACTTATTTCTAGATTTCTTAAAGAAATGTAACTACATATATTTGTTTACAGTGGCAGCTAAATAGTACAAATTGTGTTCCTCTAGACCATTTTCAAATGGCTTGTCAATTTAAAGTAACATTTTCCTAGGTGTCATGTCTTCAATGATTATTTTAAGACTTTTGTAGTCTTAGACCACAACGTTAAAAAAAAAAGTAACATGGTCAGACTGTTCATTCGAAAGCACTTTATTTTATAATTGCTTGCAGTGGGCGTTTGGCGTGACAATGTGGGAGATTGCAACCCGTGGAATGACCCCCTACCCAGGAGTCCAGAACCATGAGATTTATGACTACCTCCTTGAGGGACACAGGCTCAAACAGCCAGCGGACTGCCTGGACAAGCTGTAGGTGTCGACCAGAGTCGGGGGAAGAAAGGAAGTGTGGAGCAGGGGGCAACTGGGGGTTGCCAGAGACAAGCAGTGTCTCAACCAAAGATTGGGTTCTGTTTCAGTCAGTGTCATTCTGGATGAGTGTTTGACTGTAAACACAGGTGTAGACGTAGCAGTATTATTGAATGTCAACATTTCGGAAAATATTGTGTGACTACAAACAACTTTTTCCAGTTTTTAAAAATAGTATTTATTGATGACCTTATATGCAGCACAGAAACTAATTCTCCTACTTTTTGTGTGTTTCATGGTCTCTAGTTGATCTTAGTTGATCTAGTTGATCTTCATGTTTCTTGCTTTTAGAAAACTGCCATCTTCATCTTTACTTTGCATGTCAGGGAGAATCTCTTAAAGAATCCCTCTAACCCCCCCGTGTCTCCCCAGGTATGAAATAATGTCCTCCTGCTGGAGAACGGAGCCAGCGGACCGGCCGTGCTTCACACAAGTCAGGGTGATGCTGGAGAGGCTGGCGGAGGGGCTGCCGGAGGCATCCAGCAAGGAGGATATCATTTACATCAACACTAGCCTGCCGGAGGAGCCGCCGAGCCCAGTGATGCACCTCCCTCCCGACTCCGAGCGGGCCCCTGAGACCTGCGCAAGGACTGGCCGTGGGACCTCTGCCGTGGCGGTAGACGTCCATGAGCCCATGAACAGTGAGGACAGATACGTTGTCGTGATTGCTCCCGAGGAGCCTGTCTCGTCCGGAGACCCGAGTGCTCCTCTGCTTCAGGATGGCAACGCTGAGCAGCCCGGTTGCAGTCGGTCCTGTAGTGCGCCTTGTGCTGATCAGTCTTCGGAGGATTCTGTGATTATGCTGTGAGAAAGCGTTACTGAACACCGGTGGTTTGAATTGAAAACAAACCCTGACTGTGACTCAAAAACATCCTGCTGAAGTTGTGCTTTTTTTTTTAATAAGCAATCCTCCCGCTGCTGAACCAACAGAAGAATCTGATTTCACCACCACATGGTAAACCAGCAGGTGTTGTTATTGTAGGCCATTGAGTCACGTCTGCAAATAAGCCTCTGGCCATGTGGAAGGCTAAACAATGAAGAGCTTTCATTTGTTGAAGGTTTTGCCGGCAAGTGTTATCTCTTCCCGATAGAGGCAAAAACTACCAGTTGTTTTATTGATGACTCAAAATGAGAGAATAATGGGTAGTAAGTATTTTTACAGTTGTTGTTTACTTTCAAAGGCCAGTGTAATGGATGTTTGAAGTATTGTTAACATTTTTATGAACTTTGATTCTTTCAAATATACATTATTTTCATCTCTAAGCTGTGACAGCCCATATGGGACTGTCATTATTCTCTGAAGCAAAAAAAGAGCTGGAGACTGCAGTTTTTCTGTCCATTTTCTTGTTCTTTATTGAGTTTCTTGCAACATCACGATTTTCCACATCTTTCCATTGTCCCTCTTTCTGTTCTTCACTGACTCGTCCTTTTCATATAAATTTAAACTGTGACAATTCACACATCCCATCGCAAGCAATTACAACAGGTGCTAACTAATTACATAAGTGATCTGTTTACAACTAATTTAGTCTCTGATGCTGCCTCTGTGATGGATTGTAGTTGCAGCCCAAGCAGGCAAGCAAGCTCCTTCGTCTGCTACACACTTATATGTGGAGCTTTTGGGGAATCTTCTCACATCATGATTCATACCTGTCAAGCCATGTAGCTTATATGTAAACTGCTCTTACAAACTGTCATACAGAAAAGTAAAAACTCCTGGATTAATATATTTCATGTCTTACATGTAAAGATTTCATGTTCTCCCAACATTCAACGTGGGTTTTCAAAGAAACCTCTGATTTGATTGGCTATTTGATACTGTCCCTTTCTCTGTAGCTCTCTAATGGCTTGCAATCCTGTCCAGGGCAAGAGCAGTCATGTGTACCCTATGTTTATGTAATAGGCTGCCAGTTTGCACAGAAATCACCAGGATAAGCAGGTTGAGCATTTTGGGCTTCCTAACATTTTATACTTAAACAGTATTTTTCCCCAGTTTCATTGCAAAAACCAATTTACGAACAAGAATACAAACTACGTCTCGTCAATACTCATTCTCTCCTATCCTTGGTATAAATAAGTGTCTCTTGTTCTCCAATCTAAATCTGTTCTCTCATAACCTCTACTGCTGTACTCAGATTCTTGTGCCAGAGCTGAGTTTATAAGGGAATCCTTTGGGTTCACTTATTAATAAACTTTTTGGATTATGAAATTAAGTATGTGAAAAAATAACTTGAATGTTACTCTTTTCAATGTACTTATTTGTCTTTTACCTGTTTCTTACACCTAATGATTAGGAAGATATTTATATTTTTATTTTTTTAAATGTCATTTGCTTTTTACATTTCTTAGTATGGTTTACCATGGACAGCAGTATTGATACAGACTTAAAACTATGAAAAAGTAATCTCAACAGTTACAAAATGTACTGTATGTGCTCTTTTCCATCTTTAAATTGCTGTCTAAATCAGTCTTGCGAAGCTAAACAATCCTTAACACTTCAATATTTTTGTAAGATTTTATACCTAAAACTTAAAAATTAGTACACTGTACACTGAAGTGTAAACTGAATTATATCTGATTATGCAATTCAGTGTGCCAGTTTCTGTATGAAGAATGATATGTATATTTTTTTAACCAGATCTCATTGGTAATTAAGTATGGCTCAGAACATGCTCACCAGTTCTATGACTGGCATTTAAGTTGCAAAGATTTTGTTATTTAAACAAAGGAGACCTAAACTGTGATGATAGTGTTCTTTGGTGCAATGCGATTCTATTCATTGTTTTAGAATCTGTGTATATTGTATTTTCTGAGAGGATCTTCAATTATATCTAGACTTTTGTATGTCTAAATGTTTCTGTACATTTATGGTGATTTGAAAATATTGATAGTCTCAGAGTTAATGTAAAACACATTAAAATGAACTTTTTGACTGCATATAATCTGTACCTTCCATGCAAAATGTTTTATATATTCCTAACAAAATACTATAACAAATTATTTTAACAAATATTTGTAAGACCTTGCATTATTTAAGTATGTTGATTTTTTTTCTGTGTATACACAACAAAATTTCAGTTGTTTTTCAAGTGAATCTAGTATTCATACATTACATTTACACGACAAAAATACCGTTGTCAAATTTCGAATACCCACCAGACTTGATGAAATGTAAACTATCATTTTTTTTCCCAATTTTAAACGAAATCGTGAAAATATTTCAAATGATTTTATTTCGTGGTACAATATGGGAATTCTAAAATTCGAATAAACTGATGTTCTGGCAGAAAGGGTATCGCCTCTTTCTCAGTGGTAGAGACACAGCTCTTTCTCCATCTGGTGGTAGTTTCTAGCACTTTTGACGGGGGTGAGGGGTTCGAATATTACCCAACCACTGTTGCTTTCGACAACTGTCACAGATTGCACGGTGACATCATCTTTAAATAGTGAACATGCATTACGTTTTATCGGATTAAGTGCAATACACCAGCCGACCAGCAAATCCCGAAACCAGTCCTTGCAATCATCTTTACACAAAAAAAGTGTCTGGCAAACACCAGCTATTAGTTTTCATTATTCGAATTTCTGCTTGGCAGATTGACCAAAAAAGTATGCATTTTAATAACTGATGCATTTTAGTGCAAGGTTAAAGGTTGAAAGAATAGCTAGAAAGGTCTTGACGATTGAACAATTAAATCCTGACAACGATGTACATACAGTACACGCTACTTCTTAAATTAAATAGCAACGTTATGGTTCCCGGTCTTAATACTTTTGATTTCAACAACAAAAGGAAATACAATACAAACAAGAGTACATATAACATACCAATAAAATCGTCAGGGCTACGTATTGCAATACAAATACACTCTATGAAAACCATTTAAACTGTAAATAAAGATAAGGTCCGCACAGCCATCATGTTTTTACATTTCGAAATAGTCTGCAAATACCCCTTTACATCTATTTTTAACTGTTCAAACAGGACTCTTCTCAGACCATTTCACTTTATGTATTTAATAACGTGCCCCCATTCTTAATACTGACCCTACATTCACAAGTTCCGCTAATCAAGGAGCTCGCCGTACGTCAGTGGTCACATGACCTTTAGTGGGCGGGCACTAGATAGGAAGTGATGTAAACGACGGATCTAGAACCAAAACAATGCTATTTAAACTTGTATAACCCTTTTTTTAATCAAGATTCAAAAACCTAGATTTACCATATTCTTAATGTATCCCAACACTTTTGATCAAATGTTTGCTTTTTGTAAGGTTCCAAAGCATGCATTTTTTAAGGAATGATAATTACTGGACTTTGGGATAAATTGACTTTTCTGTGAATACTAATTGATATGCAGATATTTCATAGTAATGCGATTTTATATCTGCAATAAAATTGTTTCAAACGAATGTAACATTTAATTGTTTCAAACGAATGTAACATGCAATACTATTTACTTGGACACTAACATTCTGTTGCAACGGCAGACGGTAAGACAATACGAAAACAGGGTATAGACTTCAGGGTGGACCACAGGCATTGCACAGGTTTTGGCAGTGACTTCCTTCTAAGCAAAATCCTTACTGAATTAGCACGACTTGTTGGTGAATTAGACCTGGCAAAAATAACCCCCTCCATGAATATAGGTTCTGTAGTTAAGCTTTACATTTCCCAATTCAATTCTTTAAAAAAAATCGGTGAGAGACCGTCTTTATTGATATTTCCAGTTCCAACCACAACTGGAGAAAATCCGTGTAGGTCTATATCCAGCCATCTCTGCTCTCTGCGATCGATTAGTCTACCTCGGTGCAGCGGAATGCAGGTGAGGCGCTGACGTCGCCTTCAGGTGAGCTGGCAGCGCTCCTTCGCATCCTGATTGGAAAATGGCCGCTGCGGTCCGGTGGGCGATACAGAGCAGCCCATGGAAAACCAGACTGTGGTTTGCACTGCTCGCAAGGATGCTTCTGTGGGCTACTGACCGTGGAGCTGAAGCTACCCCTGAGCCAGGGCAGTGGACGTTCACGGTCGACAATGTAAGTACTTTGAGGAAGAAAAGCGAAAGGGGAGGCTGGCAGGGAGGGAAGACCGCTGCAGACTGAGCCTTGAGTTATGAGCCCGGTGCTGCCTGCAAATCCGACCCCGCTGTTGGAATCACAAACAGGCCCCGCCAACGCCGCATAGGAAAGGACTGGCATTGCAGATTTGAGCAAAGCGACAGAAAAACCCAACGTTACTAGCAAACGTCCGGATCTATTATCAGTAGCATCTAGAGATAAGATGTTTTCGTTAAGTTAAGACCCTTAATATTTGATTTTATCGGACCTTTAAGACTTAACATGTCATGAAACTCCTCACAAGTGTCACGGATGTGCAGGACTGTTTAAAATGCAGCCCCAGAGCCGAACTCTTTGTAAAATTTCTGAATGAAGCGAGGTGAAGGTGTGCAGAGAAAGAAAAATAATTAATGTAGGAATGCAGGACAGTCCTTTTAGCTGTCTGTTGCTTTTGCTTGAATTTAGTGTGGATGCAAACGTTTTACCGATATCGCAGAAGTTTTAAATTTAATCCTATTTTTAACAATGCAGAAAGGGTATAGCTCAAGACAGGACTAGTCTGGTTCCCGTTACGTTACGAGCTGTCATATACCGTGTCCCTTGTCTGAGCAGTGCTGCCTGAATTTCTGTGCCTCAGGCTGTGCATTGAGGTTTTATCTTAATTTAACAGCACCGTTATTTTAACAATAGTTATTTAGTTTTGTCTAAAAGATTACATTTAACGATATGACGTTATTTTTCAAACGTTTTTCTTTAACGAACATTAGAAAAAATTGCTGTTACTGCAGATACAGCAGACTAGTTTATTGTAGTTTGTTTTAACTCATTATTCATAGTCATATTTTGGTCGTAGAAGGTTACACTATTAGTAGAAGGTTAAAGTATTAGTACTAAACATGTATATTAAGACTTAGGTTTAATATGCGGCAAGTTTAGTATTTTTTGTAAAGATGGGTGGAGAGCTTTCATACATTTATTTTTATTAAAGGAAGATCTTTAAATTTACGTTATAACATGAAGTCTTTCAAAGTAAATTATTCATGCCAGGTTCCCCTTTTACCGCTATGCCTGTGACAGTGCAAGTATCCGATTACAGAGCCAGCTAACAGATGCCGGAAATACTCTTGGGTCACGTTGATCCATGTCATGTGTATTCTGTGTAAATATGTCATGTGGGAATTTAAGCCTTGAATTGTGAACAGTGCTTTCTATTATATGGGTTTTCGTACTGTAATTCCACAAAATGGCAGGCAGTTATGTGTTTAATTTAGTTTTCAGATCCCTGGTGTGCAGCTAGAAATCTGGACTATCCATCCATTTTGTCACAGGGGAGCTGTTTAGCAACCACCAGGCTAGCAACGCATGCTATGGAGGGGACGCCAGTCCATCACAGGGCACGCACAGACCCAAACATATACACTCGCCCTAGGGAGATCTTTCCTTGAAGCCAATTAACCTACCAGTACGCTTTTGGACTGTGTGGAAACCAGAGCATCTGGACAAAACCCATGTGAACACAGGCAGAACATACAAACCTCACACAGATAGCACCCCAGGTCCAGCATTGAACCTATGACCCCACCACTGTGACGCAGCAAGACTAACCACTGTGCCAATGAGCCCCCCTTATGTATAATAATTTTGAACAAAAAAAATACTTTGTTGTATTAGACAAGAGTTGTTTAGAAGTGTAACTGATACCAGTTCATATGAAATATCGGAGCTTGTTAAAACGTGTACTCACATTAAAATGTAGTGTAATATTGTTCCTGAAAACCGGTATGGGGAGAACAGTGAAGTTATTCATAGCGCAGAGAGAAAATTGAGTACTGATTTTTTTCCATTCTTAGTTACCATTCCCGTTTGTTTCAGACTTCAAGGCCACTGCTCCTGCAGAAATCCTTGTTTGAAAACACCGATATTTACCTTAAAGGTACAGTATGTGCTCTTGGGTTCAGCAGAGAAAATGTATACATTTTGCACGTTGGAGTGACTTTTGCAAAACAAAAGGTCAATGGTATATTTTTATTTCACTTCACAGTAATGCTGTTTGGTACATCCACGTCTAGGCTGATTTTATGTAATTGTCATCCATCAGGTTTCCAATGAATATGATATAGTACTGCAATAACCGCTAAACTTGTTAAACAGTAATTATTGACTGTCTAATGGATTCTCGTTAAGCAAATATGGATCTTTCTTGGATTCTGAAACCATTCCTTAGTATACCAGAACTTACTCTCCAAAACAGTTGCTGAGTTTAGTCACTGTTAAAATATAGTTATTGCCAATCATTTTGAATTGTATTTTAAAGTTTGTTAAAAGATAGATGTTCGTGAGTAATTTCAACAGTTGTGATTTTTTAATGACATCTCAGTATTTCTTACTCAGCAAACATCCAAAATATTGCATCACCAAGCATTTTCCGTGGTCTCTGTTTCGTGTTTCACAGTGACAGTGTTTAAAAAAATTACACTTTGTTTATAAAAAGTTACTAACAAATGCTTCTTTATTGCATGACAACTTAGCGATGTGTTCATTGTCCTCTGGGTAAAGGATTGTGTATCAGTGTAAATTTGTAGATATATTTTAGTGGTGATTATATTACACCACAGCTATAGTGTTTTTAAAATAATATAAATCAGGGAATCTTTTTTAACAGTTTCTGAAAATAAATGTGCGATATTTAAACATCAACTGGTAAACCAAAGGACTGAAATGGCTTGTGATCACAAAGCAGCATCTCCTATCAACTGTGCATGTGAAGCTGATGTTAAAGTATACTCGGTGACTAAGATGTGAAAGATATGTGAAAAGTGTAAAGCTCATTTTGTTTTAGAATTAAAAGTTGTTTAGTTTTTTAGCTACAAAAGAGAATTGTCGAAATGCAAACATTAATGTTCTTGTGACAAAGAGTGAAACTATGGAACATGCATGTTTCTGTACTGGATGTGTGTGCTGGAGTGTAAGTAACTCTTCTGTCCTTCAGAAACATATAGCTCTGTCAGCATGCGTAAGCTGCAAAGAAACTGTTGCTTAATTTCTGATCCACTAAATTAAGTTAGTTGGTCTTATTATTAAAAAAAAACCTGTGTGTAAAGACTTTCGGCTCAGCGGGTGTGAAGTTTGTATGTAAAGCTGAGTAGAATCATTTGGTTTAAATGAATGAAGCATTTTTAAAAACGTATTAAGTGTTGTAAAATAAAAGGATACTTTGAGTACATCTTAAATTGCTTTTCTCCTTATTCTGATGTCTTTTTTTCAGTGAAGTCCTTTCATTGTCCGGAAGTGACGAGATTAACAATCAAGTGGTATCTAAAATATTACCCCTGTCACAATGAGTTTAACAATATTGATGTAAGTAAAAGACTAACATTTTCTTGAAATACTACTAAACAGACTTCCTTCCTAAGATAAGTTATACACACTATACATCTGATTGAATGATGTACAGTTAGACCAGTTTTGAAGTGTTTTAATGCAAGGAAATGTATTTTTTATAAATAAATATGAAGAACATGACATAGTTCAGCATATCTGATACCAGTATTCATTAGTACAGAGTATTAATCATACAGTGTATCTCTCAGAAAGCCTTAAAATATTAAGTCTTCACGGGTGTGATAACATTCCTCTTAAAATTTTAAAAAAAGGGTGATGTGATGTTTGTAATTGGTGTTTTAAAACTGAAATGAAAGCAATTATTATATCTACCTTTATCCTTCTTTCCTTTTCTTAGGAGATGTATGATAAAACATATCTCAGTCGTGGAGAAAGTCTTGATCCAAACCCTTTTGGAACAGGAGAGTATATTAATCACACATACCATAATGTTGTCTGCCATAACGAGCTGCAAGTCTTTCCAGTGTTAAATGTAAGTATATTAAGTTCACTCCTTTGAAAAGTTTTACATCCATTTGTCCTTTTTTGCTTTGAAGAAAGGACATGAATAGAGCCATGGATTTTGTTTGTCTTTATAATAGTGTTTCAATTCTTATCCTCCAGGTGTCTCCATAGTCTCTCTGATTAAGCAAACCTAAGCAGGAAAATATTATTTAAATTCAATGAAGTCATATGTTTAAATAAAAAAAATAGTGTCTGAAGGGGAGCATAGGGGCTAATTAAGAAAAACATTCATTGAGTAAAGCATGCAAAATTATGAATCTGGTTTACTGTACATTCATGTCACAAAATGTCACATTTCACACTTAACTGCAGTTTAACTTTGGGACACACTTGAAAGTCACAAATAGACTGAAAATTAACATAACAAAAACATGCAACACAAAATGTTGATATTGAAAGAAATGAGGCCAAGGCCACCACAAGAAAGTCTGGAACACCGATTCCTTGTAATATCTGACTTGACAGAGGCATGTGTCTGTGTTTTCAACTTTCACTTGGAAAGAAACCTGATAACCCCAAGCTGTGTGCATGCCATAACAAACATAATAAAACATGATTACATTTCTTTCATAGTTTGGTTACATTTCTTTTTACCCAACGGAAGAACTTTTTTCCAAAACATCCTGAAACAAATGCTTTAAAAAAATAATTTAGACCTTCAGTACAACATAAAACTTATTGTTCTAAAATGTCCCTTTACAGTACTTGTATATTTAAAATTCCAAACTGCCACTTTTATTTTCAGAAGAGTAATTCATTGCCACGTTCAATCTTGCCACCCTCAGCACCTGCTGAAAAGGTAAATGGATGTATACTTTTGTATCAGATGAAAAGGAATGAATCTGAATTAAGTACATATTTTAATTTTTAAGTGTATTTAAATTCTGGTATTGTACTTAACCACTGTTGTGTTTTTGTTACCCACTAAAAGCTAAATGCAATGAATCAATAATCAATCCATAATAATCAGCTTTTATCTTATTTATCACAAATTCCCTTCTCTTTCAGCAGGCCATTAATGAATGCAACCAAATGAGTGCATGTTGATGGAAATCTTTGTGTGTTTGTCTCTGTAATAATTTTTCCCCCTCTTCTTTCAGTACACATTATCTTCTACACGGACACAGAATGGAACAGCTGAATTTCACTCTCTGGTAAAAGCCCTGAGCAGTTACAGTATTTATTCAGTGCATGTGTAGCATATTATTTTACTTGGTAATAATTCAAACTGTTTTTCAGCTAGTTATGTTCAACAATATTGACACACATTTTTAAATCAAACATTTGAGGTTTTTCAAAAAGCATTGTGAGCAGTGTCAGAAATTGGAACCATTATTTAATGAACTGTTTTGTTATTTAAGTATTGTACATTTTTAACATCTAAGCACAGGGTGACATTTGTGGTGACAGATTTCTCATCTGCCAGCATCACTCTATAATTGGAGATGGTATTCCGTAAGAGCTGCTGTGTGCTCTGACCCTTCACGCTGTTTAGATAACTGGGTCTGTAAGAACTCTTAAATTTTAGCACTAACTACTACTTTATCTCATTGATATTAATGTGCTTGGATGTTTGCTTTGCCATATTCTGGAGCTCACTTTTTTAATATTTACAAAAATACAATAAACCCTCCCTTTACTGGACTTGTAGGGGAGGAGGAGTATGTGGTATTGGTGGGTATCCATTAAATTAATGATGAGAGATTGTGACCTCACAAAACACTGATATAGTTTCTTTATCAATTTTTTAAAGCCTTTTTATATTTATTCTAGCGTTTTAATGTTGTTCAATTATGTACATGATGTCTAATGTTACATCTCCCTGTGTTAAAGTTGAATTTTCATGCAATCATTCTTCAGCCGTGATGGGAAATCAGTAATGTACGGTGTAATGTAAAATACTTTGCTACGTTAATGGTATTTTACAACTACTTTCCTACTTTTATTTCTGCTATACTCATAATTTGTCCTGAAAAAAGTATATTATAGTGAATACCTCAAGAAAACCATAAAAGTAATACCATAAACTCTGCTTTGGGTCAATAATTATGGAGAGATTTGTACTTAAATGAACTACTTTACTGTATGTCCGGAATTGCAGGGTGGTCCGTTAGTGTTTGCAGACCACCCCCCCACCAGATTTTGTCTTTAAATCCAGTGTGTGTTAAAGAGAGGGTTTACTGTATAAAAATATTTGAGGCTAAGAGAGCCCACAACTGGTTCTTTTGGTATATTTTATTGGTATACTGCAATTTGACTGCTCATCCCAGTAACAAGCCTCTCTCTTTCTCTGCACAGTTCAACCTGTGGATAGAAGTGGATAGACCTACATAAAGATTTGATTTTGTTTGCTAGTCTGGGTGCTGACCGGTAAAGTTGCTTGTTCATAGCACAGGTTGAGCTTGGTGGCTCAGACGTGAAAAATGAGCTTTTATGGTTCATGTGACTATCAGAGTGTAACCAGGACTATCAGGCAGTAAGAAGTGGCAGAGCACTACTAGGGTAGGTGGACATTAGTCAGCCATGGTCCTCAACAACTCCAGTATTGTGCCATGCACACATTTGTATACTCATAACAGACCTTGGTGTTACTAAACTTGGATGTTGTTTCTTCTGTGCAGACATAGGTTCATGCAATCCTCATTCTCTCCTTAGGAGGATGTTATAGTCACAGCATGGAGAGATGGGCCGTATTTATTAGTGGTTTCTTTTAAAACATATGATGGAAAAGCAAACTGGAATTTGTCAGGTAACTATCTTATTAACCAGATTGCATGTGATCTGTTGTAAATAAGTAATGTAATAAGGAAGTCTCAACAAACTAAAAGTCCTGAATTGTGACCCATAAATAGCCAAGGAGCAAAAAACAACAGAAAAGTTTCTGTATAAGTGTGTGCCTTACTTTTAAGTGATTCATGTCTGTGTTAGTAGATATGTTACATTGATAAATCGGTTTCTCAGTACTAGTTGGAAGGAGTTTGAACACTAATGTGGTGTAACACTTGTTCTTTTTGAAAATAAAGCAATCCTTTTCTTTTAGTGCAAGTAACTATGAAAGGCAGCCATGGATATATATCCGTTACAGAATGGCCACTGATGATTGTAAGTATTTTTTCTCTCAAGTATTTTTTCTCCATATATTATGTTTTTTTCAGTCATATATATTTTTGAATCCCTTCAGCATGCTCACTTTATTTAACATTGATGTTTGTCAGAAACCTCCTGCCCCACTGAAAGCTTTAAACGTCATGAAACATTGTTCATACTGCATTGCTTTGCTCTTCCGTAACTATGGTGCCTTGATTAGTGCTGTTAATCGGTTCCATGGGTCAATATCCAGGTTCATTCTAATATGGCTCCTATGAAGTTCCTGGCACCTCCCAAATTTGTAATAGATTGCTTAGAACCACCATCTTGGGTATTGCTGTTAAGCACAGCAGTACATCAAATAGACCAGTACAAACGTGAAAAAAGCAGAAAATCATTCATTTAAATGAGTCGACCCTCTCTAGTGAGCCATATCGGGGCCTGTCTGTTAGCTGCCCACTGCTGGACTGAAGGAGGTGCTGCTGTGTTTTGCTCCATCTCTAGGTCAGAAGCATTTGTATTCACCTGCAGAAACACCTGTAGCTTTCCTTTAGTGCTTGTGTGCTAAAGAGCTTCTCAGTTTCAATCACATCTTCCTCAGTTTTTCTCAGGACACTATTTGTTATTTCTAATTTCTCTCACAATTGGCATAAGGTTGCAGGGAACTGGAGCCTGAATTAGATGAACCATTTAGAAAATGGATTGATGGATGCCTGGATTATACACATCAATAAATATAAACAAACAGTATATATATGTAGGTACAGTATAGTAAAAACTTTGTTGCACCATAAGCTTTGTCTTATGCTTGGTTTTTTTTTAATTACATTTTCCTAGAGTGTTAACCAAAATAGTGCTAAGCTGGGTACCGTTAACTGAGGCCCCATAAAATTGACTTTCAAAATCACTGCCTCCCCTTGTCGGTTTTCTGGTAACGTCACAAGCCTCTCACAGCCTGTGTTTTTTCATCATTGATGAGATGAAATTCATTCTCTTATGAAACATTGTTGATTCATTTTAGTTCTACATGGTGATGTGCATCATCTACATTCTTTATGGAGTGCTGTGGTTTCTGTGGTCAGCGTGCTATTGGAAAGATCTCCTGAGGATCCAGTTTTGGATTGCTGCTGTTATCTTCCTGGGAATGCTGGAGAAAGCAGTGTTCTGTGCTGAGTATCAAAATACCAACATTGTAGGGTCAGCATGTAAGCTCCATTGTTTTTTCTAGACAAAGGGTTGCTGAGCACTTTATCATGAAATTTAAATACTGACATGAACCTCTCCGTTTCCTTATTAAGATCCTGCTTATTTCCTTTGTCCTCTTCTGATGCTAAGAAAGATAAAAAATGTGCCAAGCAGCTTCAGTGATGTAGTTCTAAGGACTGTGCACAGAAGGGTAGAGTTAAGACTCTGGCTCTGCAACTTGTTCTGGAACTGGAAGTTTGTGGGCTCAAGTCAGAGTGGGGCAGTACAAGTTGTTTACTTGAGCAAGTTACAGTACGTCTTTCCAATTGCTTTTGTAAAGTACCCAGCTGTATAAATGGGTACACAAGAAATTTGCTATGAATAAAAGCATCAGCTAAATGCCCACCTCTTTCATACCTTAGAACACCCTTCTTTAACCATATACAGTACATGATCTGCCTCCTGAGTCCTTAGATCTGACAGCACTTGAAGATAAGGCAGAGAGTGTCATCAGCAATTTGAATGTGCTCTTTGCAGGTATTGAATATGTTTTATGTCTCTCACAGCATGATAAATCAATAACAGCACTGGATTTGAATACCAAAATGGAAATTGAGTCTACGTTTTGAACATTTAATGTTTTATGTAGACCTTTAAGTGTGTGCACATATACTGTATTAAAACTAATATCTAGTTATTGTTCTTGATTACTTAATCTTCTCAGCGCAAGGACTGCTGATCTTTGCTGAACTTATTTCTGCACTGAAACGGACATTAGCACGGCTACTGGTGATCATTGTGAGCCTAGGATATGGAATAGTCAAGTAAGTGTCTGACAGATCTTTTATATTTACTGTATCACCATCATGTGTCACAGTGGTCTAGTGGACTTGAATATTGATCATAACCTAAGTATTTTGAGCTTTATATTTCTCAGAATTAAGTCTAATTTTTTTACACACTCCAGGGATGCCACAAAATCAGCAGAGAAAACACAAGAGAAATATTTAAACGGGAAGTGGCAAGCAGCCACCTCTAACTTTGCGGTCAGCATTGCATTCATTGGCACACAAGTGACGGATCAGCCAAGCAAAGCCATATTAGTCATAAAATGTGCATGCCTCTCTGTGGGGGGAAGTAAAAGTCCACTGTCAACTTGTACATAAAATTCTTGCATCTTCTTATGTTGCTTCTTTTTGAAAGACCTTTTTTGCACACTGCCTGTAATTTTCTTAATTTTTCTGTCCATAACAGGCCCCGACTAGGAACAGTGATGCACAGAGTTGTTGGGTTAGGAGTTCTCTATTTCATCTTTGCAGCTGTTGAAGGAGTTTTGAGAATAACAGGGGTAAATTATTTTATTTTATGCGATTGATGAAGTGGAAAAATAATTATACTAATGTGTTAATATATGCTGGTATATATATCACTATCCTGATTATAGAATGTTTAAGTTGTTTTGTTATCTATTTTTTGCTGTTAAATATGAAATATATCGATGCAAAGCCAAGTCTCTCAATAAGTTTATGGTACTGGAATCTTTTATGTCTGGAGTACTGAGCATCCTTGCTTAATTTCAAATTTGTTTTCCTAATTTGAAAGGGTCGCGATAATGCTCCTGCCCTCATATCAGAGATTGTGTTAAACATGTTTAATACCGGCTTTGTGTGGTTCATATCCTTTTCAAAATGTTTTTGGGACATGGAAAAGTGAAGGGATTTAGTTTTTTTTAAAAAGCTAATGCAGCAGGAGTTTTATTAAATAATATTGCTGTGAATAGACTATTTATCCACAGGGAAAATTGGGCCACAGTATTTTCTGAGAGTGTTCATAAAGAAGGCCATTTCAACTTTAAAATAAGATGTAGATTTCAGGAGTTTCAGACCTTGCAAAATACTTAGAAGAATCAGGTGGAGTGTTTTACACTGTCTGCATGCATGTTTTATACTCTTCCAGTGAAAATTTTTTAACAATCCAGAATTTACCACAGCTCTGCCACTGAATTCCTCAGTTTCACATTTTCTTTCTTAGGCAAAAGATTCTGACCTTGCCCTTCTTGCCAGTATTCCTCTGGCTTTGCTTGACTCTGGTTTATGCTGGTGGATATCCTTTTATTATGCTACTTGTTTCTGTCAGTTGCTTGTGTTGGTGCCTATATAAATACAATTTCTTTTTCTTTTTAAAGATTTGATTACAGTACTGGCTTCTTTACTCTTTACTTTAGTTATGAAACTGATTCAACTGGGGTAAATGTCCTGATGGTGAAGTATTACAAGCGTGTGTGGTCAAACTACATCTTAGTGTTATGCATTTTAGGACGCTGTTTTGTTTTTTCCTTGACCATTTTCCACATATTTGTCAGTTTGGCTCAAACCCTAAAGACATTAAAATTAAGGAGAAATCCAGTGAAGTTATCTCTTTACAGGCACTTTACAAATACATTAATATTTGCAATAATAGGTAAGTATTCCAGTGCAATAATTCATTTGAATCCAAAATATTTGGATGCACAAAGAGCTAATGTCCGTTTTCTTTTTACAGCTTCAATAATTTTCATGATATGGACAACAAAAAAGTTTCGATTGGCAGATTGTCAGTCAGTGAGTACTGTGAATTTTGACAGTTCATATCACGTTGATGTTGGTAAGACAAGTGTCTTACTCACTATTGTAATTATTTAAGGCACTACACAGCACTATATGATATTTTTTGTTAAATTAAAAACTTTTAACTCCTGGAGAAAGTTTATTTAATTTCTTGTGGATTCATTATTAAAAATGATTTGGGCAAGTATTTTATGAATGGGATGAGGCCATTCAGCTCATCCTTCTCATTTGGATGCTAGTTGTGCATTAATCGCATCAATATGTTGCTTGAGTGATCTCTGGTAAAGAGATTCAACACCATGAGTAGATAGCTTCTTGTATTCAAATCTCTACAACCCTGTCGTCTTAATCACTTAGTTTCTGCTTTAATCGTTCTGTGCCTATTGGTCTTAACAACATTGACAAAGCTCTCCTTTAATTTTCCTTTAAAGATCTTACCTGGATCATGTCCTCTTGTAGTGTCCTTTGTTTAACACACAAGATATTTCAGTTCTTTTAACATTCTAAATGAATGGACAACAGAGGATCATGATACTAATAAATGGAATGGTAGCTTTTACTGGTATAGATTGGTATCTATGGATGTGTTTGCACAGTTTGTGGTTATCCCACCCAATAAAAACCCCCCAGTTGAGTGGACACAACACATATATTACAGCTTTTGAAACTGGGATTTATTGGAGAACTAGGCAAGATCACATGATCGGCAATGTGCTTGCAATGGCCTGGCTGTAGAGTGGTACAGCTGGAACTGGAGTGGGCTGATATTGGAACCAGAGGGTTCTGGCACTACTCTTCACCCCTTGGATTCCTCAAGCATTTGGGCACCAAAGGGACTGAAATGTAGGGAAATAAGCTGTAATGTTTGTATATGTAGAATTTTTTAACTTCCTTTTTTAAAATCTGCCAGGCAAGGTGTGTCACTCTTGTTTGTATTTGAATGCATTATTAACTAAGAACCAGTGGTTGTCTCCTCCATTGAGATTAGAGTGTGGTCTCACCTATAGTGGACATTTTTTAATGAAATTGGATTTCTTTCTTCCATGTCTATTTCTGAATGCATTAGGCTTGGTCAATTTTAGTAAGTGAGTATGTGAAGTCTGGATGCAATTGTGGGATCTGGAACTCATTTTCAACTGTACATCACATTATGTAGATATTGGTGCTTTGTGTCTTTGCATTAGTTGTGTTTTCAGTGTTTTTAGCTACAGCCTGTTTATTTCTCAACCACGAAAATGTTCACAGTATATTAAAGAAGTCATATGATGTCATTTGGTATGTTCTCAGTGGGAATGTTTAATTATGTGTTTTTCGTACTCAAGCTGACGTCAGAACTGACTGACTATTATCCAACATCTGTTAACTATTACAACCTCCCCAATGTGTAACAGTATGATACTGTAAGTTTTATAATATAGTGCTTGGTAGTTCTTTAATGCAGCATATCATCCATGTTTACTTCAAAGTCAATTTCTTTGTGTGTCTGCAGGACTGGAGAGAGCTTTGGGTGGATGAAGCCTTCTGGAGATTCTTGTTTTCCATCATGCTGTTGGTAATCATGTTTCTGTGGAGGCCATCCGCAAACAATCAGAGGTCTGTATACAGTATAAATCTGAATGTTAACCAAAACCCTGTGCTGGCTGCCTTCCTTTTAATCTTAAATTAAATGTGCGTTTATTTTTCCAAAGATATGCATTCACACCATTAATGGATGACTCTGATGATGAAGAGATTGAAGAGTTTTTGCTGTCAGATAATTTAGGTAGGTTCTGCGAGTATTGCGATGTACCTGATCATATAGTTGTGGGGGTCTGTTACAAAACAGCCAGAGATATATGTGAAACGTGAGACTTCAAGATGGTTCCAGAACTTGCTGGATGAAATTTTGGGGATCAAGAACAAGCAAACCAGCCTAATAGGAATAATGTCCTTTATTCCTTAGAAACCCTTCTAATGCTGTTCTACAGGTATATATTCACTTGGTTTGGTACAGCTATTAAGACAATGTTTTAGTTTTTAATTTGGCATTTTGTTTAAATAGGGTTATTCTCCTGGATCTGCATCCGTCATACTAAATATCATGCACTACTAAAATGAAAGCAATTGTGGCTACTATGTCGCTCAGTAGACTCATAGGAACAGGTTGTTTGGTTAAGTGCTCTTTTTGTGGACTTGGGGGTGGGGGATAATCTCCTTCACCTTTCTTACCATCACATAGAGAAACTGTGAAGAGACAAAGGAAACTGCAAAAAATGCATTACCATTGGAGGTAATAACACAATTACAAAATTTAGAGCTTAAATCATTCTAAAATGGACTACCATACACACCATCATTTTAATAATAAATCTGCTGCTATAATTAATAATTTGGATGATTTCAGAACTGCTACAATACCAAAAAATTGTGATTTAAATTATATTTTCATTCAGGAAATCTGGTAATCTTAAGAATTAAAATTTTGAATATCCTGTAGGAAAGGGTAAACTTTTGAAAGCTTTGTGTGTGTTTTGTGCATTTGTGCTTTCTGTTTCTGTTACTGGAATTTAATATATTGTGTTCATTTTTAGCTGATGGCATCAAACAAAGATCATCAAAAACTGAATCAAATGGGACATCAAACCCTGTAGCTCATCCTGTAAGTATCAGTGTGTCTGAAACAAATTTGTCATCTTTAGGGAGTGATTGGGGGAAGTTTTTAGTAAGGAGGTGGGTAAAATAAAAGCTGTTAATTCCCCCGACCCAATATCCTTCTGTCTGCTCTCCTCGTCCACGGGCAACAGAAGAGCTGCAGTCCCCCTCTTGAATGGAGAGAGGCGAGACAGACTGATCCAGGCAGGCGAGGTGCCTGAGGTAACACAGCAGAGCCCCTCAGTGAGTGGAGTCTGCAGGGAGGAGGTGCCCAACTCCCCTTCTTCACCACCAAACCCCATTTCTCTGCAGGCTCCATGACGAACAACCTGAAGGGTGGACAGGGCTAGAGCTAGTCTGCCTTGGTCTCGTCTCCTTGTTCGCTTGAGAGCCTCCTTGCTACTCTTTATATAAAATTTGAAATGAAGTTATACTGATGAAATTTAACAAGTGGACTTAAGTCTGAGGTTACCTTGTCTTGTTCTCTTTAAAGGATGAAGACTTAAGATGGGTGGAAGAAAACATTCCATCTTCACTTTCAGATGTGTAAGTATAAGTGACCGTGTGTTTTTTCTGTTAGCTAGACTGTTAGGTGTGCTCTCTGAGTCGGGTGTCTCTCGTTCATATTTCTTTTTGCTAAGAATTTAGAACTGTAATTGTACTGTTGACCTCGAATTTTAAAAGATGCCATGTTTCATGCAAATCTGCTTTGCTTTCTCAGGTAATTAGTGTTTTCATTTTACCTTGTCAGTTCATAACAATGCCCAAAAAACATTTTTGCCAATTACAGAGCCCTGCCAGTCCTCCTGGATTCAGATGAGGTAAATTAATCTTATCCCTATCAAGAATTAAAAAAATGCATGCATTTTTTCCTTTTCTTGAAATTTAGGAGCACTAGTGCTAAATATTTTCAGATGTTCTTTGTAGAAATGTTCATTTCCACAACTATATTAATCCTTAAAGAAATCATTCTATCAAACTTTTCAATGCCAAATGTAGCAAAAAAATTAATAGAAAAATATCTACATTTGTTACGCACAACCAGATTAAGAGGTTTCATACTATTTTTATTTGGGAGTATAACCTAAAATTGTTATAATCACGTGGAACAAATTCTGAGGTATTTTTAATATTCAAGACTTTTTACCTTGTTTACTGTTGTTCACTGACATGAATAGGCAGAATGGAGTTTTGTCTCATGTTTGGTATTATCCAAGTGTCACTTTGTAAACTACACTTGTTCAAAGCTGTACCATGGTTGAATGAGCAGTCTTGACTTGACGATACTGCTGCTGTTGTATAGCTCCTTATGTAAAATGAAACAAAGTGGATTGGACCTAATACAAGCAGATGATGATAGGAATAAAAGATCAGTTCTGCTGTGTTGTGGGGCTGTGCTCTGTACATTAGAAACTAGAATTCATATTTATTTTTCTTTCCTTTTGGAAGTAACAAAGATGGTACCCTTAATGGCCATAATAACATTTTTCATACAGTCTAATTTAATGCATAGGTCAGAAATACACTGCATATGCAAAGAGCTGATTTGCTAAATGCAAGACAACCAAATATTTTATGGACTTGACATGCCAATGCTTTTAATAAATAAGTGTGAAATACAAGCACATTGTAATTAGTAACTGTCTTTTTTTTCACCCTAGGAAATAATGACAACAAAATATGAGATGTCGAAGATGGAGTGATATAAACGGCTGTTCTCTGTCAGTGGTTTGCCTGGCAATAATGATGACCAAATATATAACAGATTGCCTGGTCATTTGATAATTTAACTTAACGTAATGAGCCTCTTCAGGGATTGCACACTTTTTTTATTTTATAAATATCATTCATTCTCCATTTCATTCCTAAGCAATATACAAAATGTTTCCATTATCATTTTTGAAAATGTAGTTATGAATACAGGTGAGGTCTTAAATATTGGATGAAGTCGTAAATGCGCTTTCAGTATTACTGGTGTTCCATGATTTAAATTGGAAATGGGTCATATTTGACAGTTTGTCTAATTTTTGTGGGCCTCACAATAAGGAAAACCTTTTATATGCAAAACTGAGTAGTATGCAGTTCAGGCCAAGCAAGGAAAATAAAAAAAAAAGTCACTTTTTGTTTTCTTTCTTGGACTTTATTTTGCTCTTACACTTTGTCAGTTCTTTGTCCAAAATGGAAGAAAAAAGGAAGGATTTTCTCAAAGCTCCCAAAATACCAAAGCTAGACTTCTATAAAACCAATTACACCGGGTCTATGTGGCTGTCATTTTTATAGCATATTATTTTGTGAGGCTGTGCTGAACAAAATCAAGATAACGTCTGACACCAAGATATTTAACGGTTTGCATTTCCTTTACTGGTGTTTTTCTGCTGTGTAGTAAATATAGTCTGACATAAGTGTTTAATCATCGTGTTTCTGTCTGAGTTGTGTTTTGGAATTATGTTTGGATTTTTGTTCTGCTCCAATTTGAGAGTTAGAAACAAACTTTTTACTCTTTGCATAGCAGAGAGTATTACGTTGTCAGAAAATGCAAAATGACAAGTTTGCATTCTTCATGGTTTTTCTGTTATTTGCCTTTAAAGCTGTTTGAAGTGTGCTTAACCCATTGAAAGCCTTTAGTATAATGGGTTTTTTTCTTTGCTTTTGAGGAATAGTTTACGAAACTCAGTTAAGCCATTTATCACTGATACAGATTATTTCGTCTTAAAGCAATGGTATTATTAAATATGAGGGAACATTTTTTTTTCTCGTTTTAATAAAAAGTGCCTCTTTTAAAGTCAGCCTTTAAAAGTATGTATATTTCACTGTATTGGGAACACTTTACAAAAAAAAATAGGTAATTATCTTTATTTCTACTGTACAAATCCAGTAAATATGAGCAGTTCAGTTGAACTTTTAGGAGTACAAATGTGACAGGGAGATATTCTGCAGTTAAAACACATGCCATGCCATGGTTTCTGAGTGAATTGCACACTGCAAATTTTCTTTTTTCACCTAAACAGTGTTTTTATCTAGTGGGTGGTAGGTTCACCAAAAATATTTTTTTCTTTATTATTTATATTTTTTCTCATGCCTTCCATGTTTTACTTTTGCTATTGGTATTGCAGTGATGTATTGCACAGAATATTGGTCGTCAAACGCTCTGCTCTGCTGATGCAGTTGTGTTTCCAGTTCTTTTCCATTTCATTGAATGGGTGTTTTTTCAGTATTAATTAAATTATTGTAAATATGAAATAAAACGGTTTTATTGGAATTCAACTGTTCTGCATATGCACTTTTCTTTGACTGGATGAGTCTTAAAATGTTTTTTGAGGTTTACAAGGCTATGTCTGTTATGTTGTTTTATTTAACAAGAATAAGGTTCCCATCTTATGTTCCTGTATGGTTCCCCCATTCTTTACCATGTGGAACAACACAGGAACATGCTGTAAGATGGAAACATTTGTGTGGTCTCAAAACAGGCTGGACTTGGTAGGAGGTCCACACTGTCTCCTGCAGCTGTGCTGCAGTCTGGTGGGTCACTGCTGATGTGCTCTTTACTGCAGAGTCTATATTCTACAGATCTGGGCTTCATGCTTGATTTTGACACTGAAGATTGTGGTCTTGACATCCTGGAGTTACAGATTGTAAGTATGGTTTGTCCTATTGATAGAATCACATTCTCGGGACAGTCGTGGATTCTTTTAGATCCTCTCTTTTAACCACGTTAACAGTGTTATTGATGGACACTGACTCCTTAGCGCCCTATTTCAGGTATTTGGAACTAGTTTGTTTCCTGGTTTTAAGAAAGAAAATTATTTGGACGTAAATAAAGGAGGACAGAATTCAAATATTTAAATTTAAGAATGGAAAATTTAATTGGAATATTGTGATAATGATGGGTCTAAATATTTGGAATACATGCCGAACATTATTTTATTGTCCAGTGAAGCCACTGATGGTGCAAAAAAAAACCAAGATGCAGGCCAAAGATACATGGACTCATATGAATTCTCTGATGTATGAATTCAGCCCGCTTTGATGAACTTTGTACTGTAGAGCGAGATTTACCTTGCCCTCTAAGGGGATGAGTCAACCCAAACCATGCCAGGAAAATGCACCCATCACCTTAACCCTCCAGAACACGTCACCCTAGGAAACAAGCAGTCGAGCCTGGAGGCTTCTACTGGCCACACATGTACTCATCTGCTTGTTGCAAACAGGGTGAAGGATGACTCATCTATCCATATAACTTTCTTCCACCACTCAGTCGACCACTGCCCGTGTTTTTTGCACCACTTTACTTGCAAACATCTATTTTTAGCTGTACTAAAGGGTTTATGCACCGCAGCCTTTTCGTAGTATCGGTCTCTGTGAAGTACCTTGACAGACTCGATGAACTGCCTGCTGCCTGCTTCGACTGGCATTTGCAGTCAGCTGATTCAGAGCTGCTTGTCCGTTTTGCATCTCGAACCGATGCACGGACATCATGATTGAGGAGTATCCACTTTCCTCCACTGTTGCCCTTAGTTGATGACACCTTTCCCTCAGATTTCCGTGCCGACATCACCCCAGCCACTCCTTCTCATGAAACTTCAGCACATTGAGCAGTTTCCTCACTGAAACTCCTGCCAAATGTGCCCCAGCAATCACCCCTCTCTCAAAGTCACTGAGATCTCTTCCTCTCGCCATGTCAGCCAAAATAATGGGCACCTGGGCCTGCCTAGCATTTTTATACATGACCCTCAGCATGATGGGATGGCACCTGTGTGAAAGCACCTGTTTCAAATATGCTTGTATCTACTCAAGTGTTTCCTTTATTTTGGAAGTTACTTGTAGATTGCTTTGTATGTTGTAAGGTAGAGCAACACCTGTAGTATTGTCATGTGTTAATATATTATTTACCACTAGGGGGAAGCATGGGACCAATTCTCTGATTTCCACTCGCAGTATTCAGTTTTCTTTAAAAATTAGTTTAATACACTGTAGTTTGATATTATCACTCTACACCACCATTTAATGAATAACCAGCTTTATTAGTTGTGTAGAAACACCTGCTAAAAGTACTTCAAAAATGAAATAAAAGTATTTTTTGTGCTTCCAGAAAAAGTCCTGGAAAGGACAACACTGAGACATGATGATATGCTAGACGAGGGTGAAACACCTGCTGTGAATATCCCACCCTCTACCCAGAGATATTTCTGAGATGGTCACTGGACATCGGCTGCAAACAATGGAAAAATTAACCTGAACAAATGAGCTTCTGGCCGACATATTCTTTGGCACAGTGGGTCTATTTTGTGCACAGAGCTGCTGTGATCTTGGGCTGACAATGGTTAGGTAAAGAGAAGGCACCCCCAACTGCTTGCATTTAAAAGATTTCAGCCATTAACTACAACTAAATATTAGGAATTGTGACACCTTCTTGTGAACCTGTGAAGATCACAAAAAGGTCCTGGCAAGTCTGTGAATGCTGGTTGATGCCCATAAGAAGAACAAGGATTGCCTTCATTGTGGAGAGCTGTCAAGATAATGGATGAGTTCCAAGGGTGATCAGTAGAACCTTTATAGAGACCTCCTTAACCCCTCTTTCACACTGTTAGGGTTTAAAAAAAAATAAAACCCTGTGAGTCTTGTTTATCACTGTGAAGGATCCTCCTTAATGATGGAAGGATGCATACGAACGTATTAATACAAAATTCAAATGTTGCTCAAGAAACAGTTTATGAAATTATAAGTGGTATCCTTATGGCATGAATGCCCCAGTGACTAGTAGTAATGGGTCTAGTAGTAATGTTCTTTCTGACATTTCTGAAGATGTACAATCAAATCAAATCTTTTTGGGGAAGCTGGATTTGTTATTCTTGAGCAAGTCAGCAAGTTCTGTTGCATGAATCCAAATATTTGAGTATCGGTGTTGTCGATGTAGATGAACATTTGTACTTGGTTGACTAACCTGGTATAATAAGAAAGGAAAATTGGAGAGATTTTATAAGCAGCGAACTGGGAGCAGAGTTCAGAACCAATAGGAGACAAAGACATGTCAACACTTCAGAAATGCATTTGCCTAGGAAAATATTGAAAGGCCCAAAATTTGTTCCTGAAGTCCAAATCTAGGAAAGCATTGCAAAGTGGAGAAATTAAAAAACTGAGGGAAGACAGTGCTCTTCAGAAAGCTTAGTAGAACCAAGATTCAAACATGGAAATGGTGTATACAGTACCAACCTACAGGCACAGCTGAAAAAAGGACATTCAAATTTCAGAGGCAGAACAGAATATTGCAATGCAAGCAACAAATAACAATCAGCATTTTTTAGGACTAGCTACATCAGAAGCACTCTAAAAGCTGGAGTAATTTTGAAATAAGAGGATTATTAATACAAAAAAATATTCTTTGCATGAACATTGCATATGGGATTTCACAATAGAAGAGATCAATAACATGTCCTATATTTTGAATGACCAACAACGTTGGGGGTATTTTAGCATAACTGACAGTGAGAGTCTACATCTTAATAGTAATGAATTTCTGGAGCCTGATATTGCAGTCATACTTCAGAAAATGAGGGATGTTCTTCCTAAACCACTAACTAGGAGAGTTCCTCAGCCCCAGGCCTGGGATCTCCTGTATCTAATGGCTTGTGTTTCAGTTGAGCTGTGAATCACCAGTGCTACTGGATCCCTTTCATTATTTTGCTCAGTTAATTAACTTTAATTTTCTCCTAAATTTCAGAGATACCTGACTTCTAACTTACTGTTTGTCAAACAACAGTGTACAAAACTTGCGTGTGTCTTCCACGTTCTTGCCCTTATTTTGGACTAAATAGATCTTAAAATGTGATCAATTGCCGGTGAGCTGATAAAAGTGGTGCTAACAACGTATCATTCTCTTCGCATCCTGTAGAAGTCCAATCGGTAGTCTTACATCTGTTATTGATACACAATAGATCTGAGCTACAAGAATACTTACAACGTTTTAAGAAACAGTTCACATGGGTTAAGAAAGTAAAGGTATTTGAACAAATAACAAAGTCAGCTGTTAACAATAAAATATTTGACAAGATACATTCAGACTTCCAGAACCTTTTGCTAGGGTGCTTTATAAAAAGTTAATTCTCAAATTGAAATCCATAGTAATCCAGGGTAATGTCTGAACGTGGATTGAGGTTAGCAAACATGCAGTGGAAACAGTGTATTATCTGAATATGTGATAATTTTTTTTTAAACCGTTCAGCCTAGAAAAGGGAGAAGAATAGATTTTACCCAAATTTATAAAATCAAAAATATCTAAAAAGGCAATTCAGGAGACCACGAGTGGAGTACCATAGGGATCTGTATAAGGACCACTGCTCTTCTTTTCTAGATTTTGATCTAGATTCTGGTAAAGCTAGAAAACTGGTCAAATTTGCAGATTATAATTAGGAGGATTAGCCAACCCTTTAGAGTAAACAAATGGAAATGACATTTTTTGGCACAGGCTTCCCTGCTGGGAGGTTGAGGCACAAACTCTGGATTCCTTCAACAAATCGTTGTATGACATTTTAGAATCAGTTAGTTCCTAAACTTTCAAAAGAGCAAGACAGTCTGAATGACCTCCTCTAGTTTGCAACCATTTTCATGGTTTTAGAATACTGTATCATCATAAAAAGAATATGGGGTTTTCCCCCTTCCGGACAAAAACAAATCAGTTTGGGTTCAAGTTCTCAGTCCCTCAGAACTCAAGGTTCATGCAGTGCTGTGCTCAGTGGAAGACCGGGCTGTGGAGAGCTCTCAGTGACAGCAGAGATCATTGCACTGCTGGAAAAATGTTTTTAGCTTGTGTTCAGAATTGTACTGTGGCTTCTGGAACGTGTTTCTGCATTAAGCACTGATAGTTTGTGACAGTCCTACACGCTCTCTGTTCAAACATAATACCGCAGGGCCATTTTCATTTTAGGGATCATGATTTTTAGTTTTGGTCCATGGGGCTTTCGTGTATTTGTTACTAGAGAAATTATTCTTCTATTCTTACTCAACAATGTTTTTTGTTTTCTGTGTGATGCTGTTCAGAACCAATGAAGTCTGATTACTAGGATCTCCGTAGTTATATAAATTCTTACCACATTTTGGCTGAAAACTGCCTCCCCTTAAAATTTAAGGCTCCTTTGTTTCACAAGTGTATTCATTTTGGCTAGTTTAAAGGTAACGTTTGATAAAATTGTAAGGAACCCCACATGTAATTTTGTATGAGATCATAAATTGCCCTAGAGGTTTCTGACAGAACTGCAATGAAGCAATTGTTTTAAATGTCTGAAACAGATCCAACTTTTATAAATTTTGAAGTAAAATGATTAATTATTTGCTTTTTGGTCATAAAAACCTGCTAGTGCTTGGTAGAAAATGGTTTGCATATGTGGGTTTGTATTTGCTTTCAGAGGTTGAGGCAAAACCTGGTGTTACTAAAACATGCTTAGTTGTTTATATCAGTGCTCATGACATGTGCTCTCCCTACAGGATAGCCCCCAGAACATAACCCAGAGATAACAAATGACCCTTACAATGGTATCCTTCATTGACTGCGAATAACATTCACGTGCAGTTGCACTATTAAACTGAACGACCCTGAGATTTTATTTTTATGCAAAACTTCCTTTATAGATATGTTCTTTCCTCAGATAATCAGAAAAATCTGTTTGGCAGATTAATGTCTGGGCATGCATTGAATCAATTATTAAAGACTTAAATGCAGCCTTTTTTCTGGGAAATAGCTACTGTTGAGAGAATGTGAGCCCTTCACACTCGAAGAGATGTGTTGGGTGGCATGATGTCTGTTGACTTTACTCCTCTTTTTCTTTTGTTTTTCATTTTACACGTCCATTATAATTTGGTTGCCAGACATTAAATGAAAAAAATCCTTTCTAAACCTAATGAGGTGTTTGTATTTTTAATTGTGAAAATGATGCATTTGTCAGTTACTCCTACAGAGGTTTTGCATTTCTGATCCGAATAGTTGGTATTACAAAAATTCCACGACACAGCACTCATTTCTCCTGAAAGCCAGCACATATTTCCATCTAGAAATAGTCTCCATTCTTCTTCAGATCATCAGCTTATTGGACATTTTTCAAAATTATTAACTGGTAGAAAGAGAAATGTAGTTGTCAAAGCTATTTGTCCTTCTCGTATATCCAATGACCTCCTGTTTCCTTCCACAGCCCAAAGACATACTGGTAGGCTGAGTAGCGTCTTGGAAAATTGGCCCTGGTGTGAGTGTCATAATGTTTGGGTCTGTATCTGCCCTACGATGGACTGGCGTTCCACTCAGGGTATATGCTGCCTTGCGTCCTTACTTGTTCAGATAGGCTCCAGCTCCGCGGTACCCCTGATAGGATTAAGTGGTTAGAAAATGGATGGATGAATGGATACAGCTATTAAGAAATTCAATTCCACAATTCATTATGAATACATCCGATTCATTTTACAGTGCCTACTTTGTGTTTTATAGTTGAAATATGGTTAACTGTTACATTTGTCCTTTATGTTGTTGCATTGGGGGGTAAAGGAACAGATTTTTTTATACCGTTCTTGTATTTTTCTTCTGCTTCTTTTGTGCAGTTCACTCTGTCATATTCGAACCTTAAATATCATGTGACTGATACAGGTTTATGGCTTTTTTCCATTGCTAATCTGTAGTTTTTTTCAGCCTTGCATTACATTTCTTTAAATATAAAAAGTTTTTTTTTTCTAGGATGCAATATAAAAATGTGATTGAAAGGCCAAGCATTACCCACGTTGTTTCAAGAAATAGGAAGAATTGTGAGTGGGATTTTTTCTTTTAGGAGTATTCAATTTGTGGAATACAGTTTTTGAAAAAGAAGCTCTATGTGATGTCGAGTACTTGAAATAATTGCAGAATAGTAGAAATAATGTAAATCACAGAATTCTATTTTGTGTAAAAATGAAACTCACTCCAGGGATTGTAAAAGTGTGGTCTAGAATAGCATAGTGGTGTGGTGAATTCATGATAAGTGCTATGGTATGTGTCACATGATAAGACTAGTGAAGGCAAATTCATGAAAACACATTGTCTCCTGAATCCATGTTTCAGGAGAAGCAGTATGTCAAGAAAGTATATGCAAAACTAGCACCGCTCAAAACAGCTAGAATCCCAAATACTCTACATCTGCTGCTGGACTGAAAGAAATCTTTGGGCATGCAGTCATTCTGTAGACTATGTAATACAGACAATGACTGATAATGATTTTATAGCAGTAAAATATACATTATCACAAATTAAGAGTTTTTTAACCTTTTATGTTTTAATTTAGCCAGTTTCTGCCTTTTCATTTGGTTCATCAATTCATGTAAATTGTATGTTATGTCCAGTTTTCACTGTTTCCTAAGTTACTAAGATTGTATTGTATGCTTTACAGGGCAGAAACTTTTAGTTTTCCTTCATGATGTCCAGCAGGGTTTCCTATATCCAAAAGTCTACCTATTGAGTGTCTGAATTGTTTTTCCGAGTTGATATTTTCCAGGTATTTCTTGTCGGTACAACACTCTAAACTTAAGTGCTTTGCCAAAGGAACTAAACGGAGGGGAGAGTTTGTTTTGTTCATTATTTACTGTACCTGAAACTTAAGTACCATGTCTTGCAAAAGTACTCTGCCTCCTTCCAATGATCTCCCATTTTGTGCAAATAACATATTTTTTCATTTTTGTAGTTTTTGCTGACATTTAACTTCTTTAACCCATAAATGTGTTCACTTTGAGAATTCAGACTTTGGTTAAAAATATTCACTTTTTAACATAATTTTAATTCAACAGAATGGGACGTCATTGAAAAGGGGGTGAGTATTGTAGCAGACCTACTACTAATTGCTGGTGAGAACATTTTCTCAAGTTCGTGTTTGAAAGGTATTCTTTGCAGCCAAACAAAAATACAAGTATTGCAGTTTGTCAATCAAAAACAATATGGACATAGATGCAATGATAAAAACATAAAGCAGCTCATGAAATCTGTCTGCTCTTCCAGTGCTGTCTCATTTCAGAGCTACTTATAAGACCCAAGAATGTGCATCTTCCTTCCTAAACAGCGTGTGGTTCTTTCCAACCCTTTTATTGAGATTTAAAGCCCAAGATAGTGGAAAACAGACTAGACACATATGGTTGACATTACTCTTTGTTTCTACAAATACATAATTGAAAAACACATTGAAGTATATTTTCATTTCCTGATGCTTATTGTTTCAGTCAATATTAAATACTTTTGGCATAGTTATTTCTAGTGCAGACTGCTGTCTGGCAGGTTCTTCAGTCGATCTCTTGTTAGAAAAGGAAACCTTGTGTTATTTAACCTTTAACAAATTAATAGCAGATAGAGGCTTTTCTCTTAAAAACACTATGAAAGTTGAACAGACAAAAACACAATAAACTACTGTTAAGACGTAATTGGTGTTACTGGAAATATTATTTTATTTGAAAATGAAATCAGTGCCATTTTTGAAAGGTGGAAATGGTTTTCCTTCTGAGCTGTTCATCATGTAAAAGGTACTGGTTACTGTTTGTAGAGCAGAACTGCAGTCTGGAGTCTGCAGCCTCAAGTAGTCAATAAATTGTTATAAGATTAGATTAAAGAATTAATACTATCTGGATATCCTTTGCTAACATGGATGCAAGTTCTGCTGCAACTCCAAAGGTATGAGCTAAACACATATCTGATAAGAACTGGAGCAGCGGTTAAGGGTTAAGGGTTCTGATGTATCATGGGAAGGCTCAGGGTTTACATCCCCAGGCAGGCTGTGGCTGTAGTACCATCGAGCGAAGGACTGCTCCTGAATAGCTCCAATAAAGTTACCTGCTGCATAAATGAGTGCCAGTGTAAGTTGCTTTCAATAAAAGTATCAGCCAAATAAATCTGTAAAAAAATATATATATGTATTTTCTGTGTTCCAAGATATTACAGCGGGTATTACTTATAAAATTGGGAATCCCAAAAGTGAAAGAGGAATTTCGGCTTTTAGCCATGTGAAAAATAGCGCTGTGATCAGCTGCAGCACTGCACACTGGCATTGACATGCAGCTGTGGTAAGCACTGTGGAAAACACTTTTATTGGAATGGGTGGACACCAACACGGGTGGGTGAACACAGAAGTATAGACTACAAGATAAACAATTATATCGAACTTTATTTCTTTTAAAACATTACAGTTTGTGCAATACAAAGGCTGGTTGTAATGCAGTACCATATTACAGGCAGTGGGACGAAGTTAAATATCTGTTAAATACTGGAAGCTATGTCCGATTACTGTAGTTATGACATAACATAAATAAGAGATGAAATGTGTCCAAGCTGATTTACTGTGTAATCAACTGCTCATAAAAATTCTGAGATTTGCTTAAATCTGGATAGATTTCACATGTTGTGGTCATATAAAACTACAAGAGACGCTAGCTTACATAAATTAAAAAAAAACAGACTTGCTACATATAACAGAGATGAATAAACACTACTGGTAATTATCTGTCTGAAATTTCCATTCATGATTTTTTGTTAAGATTATTTCCAACAAATATGTGATAAGGGAATAGTCTATCAGTGAATCAAATCTATTCCAATGTTCCACTGATTTACACACAGCAGTGCACAATCAGGAAAGAGACTTCAAGCCACAGAAATTGTTTTGGCCTCAGACCTGAACTACTCAAAGGGTGAGGTGTGTAATTCTACAAATTCATACTCTGTTGATATTACATTCATTCTCGTTACCCCCTAACTAAGTACAAATCACACCAAATGTTCTTTAAATGCTACTGACAACAAAAGTACAATAATTTTTTTTTATTTCTCACTTCCAGCCCTATTTTATATATATATATTTTGGAATTAGTGGTAGCTAAATTGATCTCAGGCTGGTCACTTAGCTTATTGCTAAGTCTATTACTAAGTGTGTTTTGCCTGTGGCATTTCAGGAATTGGGGTGGCATGAAATAATGCAATAGAGTCCTTAAGAGTCCATGCTTTCAATTGCAATAAAAAGGCAGAGGCCGTGTCCTCAGTTCCTTCAGAATTCATAGGGGGAAACGAACACAGTGACCTTTGCCACGTGTTTAGCCTGGAAGGTGCGCTCCAGGTATTCGGACATGTCCACCTCCACCTCTATGTCCTGCATGCCCTCCAGGGCTTGCACAAGGATCAGTTCTCCAGTTTGCCGGTCTGAGCGCTGCATCACAAAGTGCCCTTTGCTGTTTCCTCCCACGATGCCAAAGCGCAGGCTGTCCGGGCCGGGCCGGCCAGGGGCCGCCGCCGTGGCCATGCGAAACAGAGTGACCGGCGTCTTCAGGTTGGAAGGCAGGGAGAGGTAGTGGAAGGAAACAGTCTTAGGTGCCAGGTGGCACAGCCTGCTGTCCATTGGGCACGGGTTTCGCTCACACTGGCTGTCGAATGAGAAAAAGTGATGAAATAATGACATTTTCCTCACAAGCGCAAAGCATTTTTCTGAACTGCTGGAAACGTGGAAAAGATAAATTATAGCCATTTGTAAGGTTAGTTTCAAACCTTTGACTTTAGTAGATTTTTATCAATTATAAATTATAAAGAAATTTGCACTTTGTTATGTCTGAATGTTGTTCAGAATGAGCAGAGCAAACTGCAGCGAACATTTAATCATAAAGAAACAGCAAAACCATATTGATGTTAGGCACTAACAGAAGATAAATGCTGTTTTCAATGTGCATTTAAATTTATAATAATGAAATAATTAATAATTTAATGAACAAAGAAGTTTGGTGACTGTTATTGCTGGATTTTTTTTTGTTTAAGAACATTTGTAGAATCACAATGTGCATGGTAGTTAACAATATGCAATTTAGCACTTAATGCATACGTTAGTGTTTTGAAAGATGAATTCAGGATTCCATCCTAACTGAACGTGTTCCAGGGATTGTAGGGTCATATGGTCACATACACTGGATCAAAAGCCTTTGAAAGACATTTTGTTGGTGCTACCAATTACCGGTGTATTATAATACTAGTGTGAGAGTGGTGCTCTTACAATGACGATGTCTTCACATAGCTGACGTTGCCATGGGACTTGGGGCACTCTGGGCTCACACAGTGGAAGCCCCCTCCTGTATTAATGCAAGTTGTGCCCCTGGTGCAGTTGTGCTGAGAGGTGAGGCACTCGTCGATGTCTGCAAAACAGGAGTTTTCAAGACAGGGCAAGATGCAGACACGAGTCCCAGTTTCGTCATGAGATGAGAGAGGCAGCTTTTCGGGAAATCTCTTGAATACACTCAGTTTATAGACACATTTCCCCGTTGCACCAGCGCACAGCTGTTCCCAAAAGATGTGAGATCTTTGACATTCCCCCAGCCTGCAAACTGTGAGGTCATTTGCTCCAAACACCTCCTGGAAGCCAGAGTTAGTGAGAACCGACCAGGTTAGAGGAGTTAATAGACTGAATTTGACCAAACCGCCGCTCTGCTGTTAAATGGCCAGAGCACATTTATGACATGGCTGTGCTTTTCTGACAGACAGACAGTAATAAGCCCAAAGCTTTCCTTTCACTTCTTTGTGATTTACAACTGGAGCCCCAGCTCATGTGACCTCATGAGTCCCTCGGCAAATAAATCATCGTGTGTCTCCCCAAGCACAAGGCTCCTGGCCATGAATGAGGCTTCTGTCAAGCTGCAGGGGAGACCACAGGGCACTGAGTGGGGATCACGGCTTTGGCGACTTACCCTCGCAGCTTCGGCCATCGCCAAGCAATTTGTATCCAGAGGGGCAGGAGCAGCGGTACGAGCCGGGGATGTTGACACAGGCGTGCACGCAGAGTCTGGCAGCTCTGTCTAGCTTGTACACCTCGCACTCGTTCACATCTGCATGCAAACAGAGTTTCATAATGCAACATATGGCTAAAATCAGGGCCTGACGCCAGGGGTTTAGTCAAAGGAAAAAGTCTTCCATATTCAGCCCAGGAGCTGAGTCTTCATCTGCATGCCTGCTTGGGGCCCAGGAGGCAGTGTGTTAAATGGTTTATTGAAAGTCAGGGAGCTTAACATCCCTGGCAAAACATGGAAATAGGAAAGGGGAAGCATACAGTTTTTCCATTTTCCTTTGCTGCACTTGGATGCACATTTTACCTGGCTAGGGAGCTGTTGTATTTTTTCCTTTACACAGTATTTTATTTTACATCTTACAAGGATGACTGCAGCTTTCTGCCTGCCCTGAGCTGGCTCTTCTTTTCCTGCAGAAGCTGTTTGCATGTTGTCTCATGCATTCATTCTGGCATTACTGGGAACCGAAAGTCTGAAAACAAGGTAGCTTGGCTAATGTGCACATTGGCATTTTGCTGCCAGGCCAGAAAGGCCTTTATGTGGCCTACCTTGGCAGATGCTGTTGTCCGAGGTGCCGCTCATGTGAAATCCGGCGTCACAACTGCACTGCTGTGTCCTGTCCACCTTGGCACAGCGGGGCTTTCGGCTGAAGGCCGGGTCATTCATCACGCTCCATTCTGGGGGTGCTGAACACAACAGATGCAGCTTTACTCTCCAACCTCCACTCTACAGTAGATGACAAATATGATATACTGCTGTCCTACTCTCAATAGTATTATAATGTACATTTGGCTTCAACAGGTGTGGAAATACATAATGACCTCATGCTCAGGTCTATATTTAGAATTTTACATGCTTATACTCTGCCCTTTTACAGTAAGCACATAAATAGCTGTTCATCTGGTATGCAAATATTTATTGAAGAAGGTAAATATATGCAATTACACACACAGGTGCAATTTTCTGAGCATTTGTGTAGAGATTTTAGTAAGTTTATGCTATCACTAATAATAATGGCCTAGAAACAGCGCTGTTTGATGAATGAGGTCCTGGAAAGGATTTAGCACAGTTTCTTTCTAAAGCAAGGCTTCCTTTTCCTGGTCAGCAAGGGCTGCATTCCCGCACAAGATTTCTCGGTCTCCACCGTTAGATAATTAACATCGGCTTATGATTTGTTGCGAAGGGCTAAAGGGATTCCAATAAGACTTTATTGCACCACTTGAAGCTTTGGACTTGACTAGATAATGTAAGGAGACCTTGAAAGTCCTGGATTGTGGCCCCACTGGACTGGGAGCAGAAGAGTTCTACAGACCTGTCTGAGTCTGATGTTGGCAGTGAGAGCCACTCCAGTTCTGAGGACAGACGCACTTGTACTGGTTGACACCTTCCACACAGCTTCCTCCATTCTGGCATGGGTTACTGGAACATTCACTGATGTCTAAAGAGGGAAATGGGTTCAGCTGGGTTTCTCTTTAATTGAAGTTGACCGACATAGAAACAGGCTGATACAGTATGTGGGTCTGTATCCCTGCTAAATCTAAAAAAAGTGAATTGTGAGGGAACTGTTTTGAATCTCTGTCAGGTGTGACACGTTCTTTATGTTTTGCGATCACAGAGGAGCTGTAGCTCTGAGGTGAATGTGTGTTTAATATTTTAAGGGTGTTGTTTTTGGCTTGGAGAATGCACATTGGGAGAATGGAAACGTGTGCAAAGAAATGACGAAGAGTGAGTAATGGTTATTAAAGGACGGAAACAACACTTCATTATTTGATAGAAATGAGAAAGAAGCCTTTTGGATAAGCCACACAGAGGCCTACCCCTGGCTAAAGAGCCCAAACAGGGATAAAAATCACCACAGAAACAGACACAAACTTGGTGCACTGACAGCTGTCATTTTCTCTGGAATCATGTGGTTAGGACTTTGTGGTTAGACCATTAATGGGGGCAACACCTTGGTAACATTCAGACATAATTCTGCTAGTATACATAGCAAAGAGGGATTTTGTTTAACTCAGAACCTATTTTTTAAACAGCTCTGTCAGTAGCAGCCTTGGGGACTCCTATTCAGTAAATTAGGATAACACTCAATATCACTCTCTAACAGCTATTTGGAACCAGGCAAATTGATTCTCATAGATGCTTCCTCCAATATATGAGTGACCTCTTCTTAACAAAATAAATGTATTTTCAACTCTTAAAAAAGTATTAAATGGGGTCCAGAGCAACAGGGTTACTTTGTGTTTTTATTTTTTAACGTAGTTTGCAAAAACTCTGGACATAGAGAAACCACAGCTGACAAATCCAAGTCCCCCTTATCCCAGCTCTATACATCTACCTAGTAGATTTTTCTTTTTTGGGGACAGAAGTGAGATGAGGCAATAACAAACTGTGCTTTTGCATTTTTTTAAATTGGTCACAGCAGGGCAAAAAACAACTAAGCCTGAATACAAAAACACTCTGAGGGTTTGAAGTATTTTGTTGCAGTATGAAGCAGATTGCGCCCAGATAAATAATGATCTTAGGACATTGTGGGTATGGCACATGGCATTGTGGTCTACTTATGGCCTTGTAGCCTTTTTAATTTTTTGTGGTTCTACTGCATTGCAATGTTGTTCTACTTTGTCCAAAGCTGTGAAAACACAATCCCGATTTTTGAAGTTAGCAGCTGTATTAGCTAATGAGAACCATCGCAGATGTTCTTAATTAGGAAGTGGGGAAGCCTATGTGCTTTGAAAGTTAAATTTGTAACATATCCGAAGTATGTAAAAACAAGTGTGTCTAACATGCAGGCGGTGTCTAGTCATTCATCTTTGAGTACTTTATTTCTGCACATGAGTTTATTAAACCTTTGAGTGCCAATACTCCAAAACAAATCTATACACATTCAGTCGTTTTTTAAAAATTCATCACATAATGGGCGACACGACATACTTGCCAGGATAAATTACAGAGTTACACAGTAACACAGTTGCTGATGGAGACTGGTGACTTTCAAGTCCTGATGAGTTGCAGTGAAAGGCTAGATCCAGCTGTGACTTTTTAGCCTTTAGCTGAGTAAAATAGGTTTTTCACATGGCTGAAACTGACATCAGCTTCATTACTTAAGTGAAAAGGTATGTTTCTGAGGAGCATCTGAAAGGGTGATCAAAGTACAATTCACCAGTGTCTCTAGTATGTGATGCCTTTCTGTCGGTTCTGCTCAGTTTTCTCTCTGTTGTCTTCTGTATCATCCATCCTTTCTCTAACTACTTCATCCAATACAGGCTTGCAAGGAAGCCAGACCCTATCCTGGCACACAACAGGAGCGAGGCAGGATACACACTGAATGGGACACCAGTCCATTGCAGGGCACACACTCACACTCACACCAGGGCCAATTAACCTACCAGTATGTCTTGGGAGTGTAGAGCACCTGGAGGAAACCCTTGAAACCCTTGAAAACACGGCAGAACATGCGAACTCCACGCAGATAGCACCCCAAGATCTGAACCCAGGGTCCCAGCAAGTATACGGCAACTATACTGCAAAAAACGACCAGCAGTAGCTGTTCTGTAGCCTTTTGTGGCTTAAACTGTATTTTCTGTTGATAATAGTTTTAGAAGTTGATCACTGCCTACTGCTGTCTGAACTGGCACATTCATCAGTCTGTTGTGGCCTTTAATTACGCATCAGAGGATATAAACCAATAATCTTTTTGAAAATTTTTTTTAAGTTTACCTTAAAATACCTAGGTCTGATGTCACAATGTGCTGTAGTTGTACATATGTGACTGTGCTTAATTTGTGTTTTTAATTATTTACCTTCTAGAAAAATCTGGCATGTGTCACTCCCCCAGGGAGTGTGTGCACCCCAGGGTAAGAACCACTCTCCTCTAACATACGGTGTTGTGCAACAATCATGGAGAGCAAGCTGGGGTATGCAAAAAGACAAACTCATAATACAAGAAATTGTATATGGCCAATAAAGTGATCTTAAAACAAATCTTAATCTTAAAGAATGTTTTCTTTACCACTTTTTTTGTTGTTGTTGTGGACTCTTTCCTTTCCTTTGATATAAATAAATCACACAATAGGGTTTTTTTACACAAGACAAATAACTAAATACAAAGAATGTAAATGCATAATAGCATAATAATAAGCAAAAAGCTGAAGAGTATCTTGACTTTTTGTTAAGCATAGTGACACTTGATACACATGGGTCTACCACTGCAAACTACATATTCAATACCACAGTATACAATGTAGGAGCAGGAATCCCCCACTCACCTCTCACATTCAAACGGAAGAGACATGGTGACCTCCTGGTTTCATTTTTAATGACACTTCATAAGGATCTGCACTATTATGGCTGTGATTCAGCCCATCTTGTTCATTTGGTAATTTAGCACCAAAGTCAAAGTATAATTTCAGCCAGCCATTTTTCCCAGGAACAGTGTCTTGTTCCAGATGCCCCACCACTCTTTGTATGCAGAAGCCTTTCCTGTTCTCCAATCTAAATGAATTCCCCTTTCGTTCCAAGTTCAAAAACTGAAGAGATTTAGAGATTTAGCTACACTCTCGGTCTGTATTTGACAGTCTTTTGAGACCAGGAATCATTCCGGTTGCTCTTTTTTGAATTATCTCTATAATTCTCTTCATAATACACATTTTGGGTATATGGTGACCAAAACTGAACACAATATTTTAAGTGAGATTTTACTAGTGTACTGTAAAGCTTTTTAATAACTTCACATTGGCTTCAAATTCCACTTGTGAAATTGGAAGAACTATGTTTGCAGGTCTTTGTGTCTTTCCTTTTGAAGCATGAATTACTATTGAAGAGAAGGAGACATTTGTGAGGTTTTCAAAACCTTTCAGAAGGTCTCCAGATTCATGACATATGAATATCACTGTCTCTCTCTCTGTACAAAGTTTGATAAAGGGTTCCATTGTCTGTTAGGTCAGCATTCAGTGTGTAACAGGTCCTTCTGACTGACTAAAAGCAAATAAATTATTCTTCTAGCAGTTTTTAATGAACACACTGCATCCGATTTGCAAGGAAAGTAAATCAAATTAAGTGTTTTGGTAACAAATGAGTCATGTTCATTACCCTTGCCAGGGCATGAATATTTTTTCAGTGCATCCCAATTATGGCTCTGCTCTTACAAGGACAGCGTTGCGCATTGGTTCTTATATAAACATGATTTCAGAGGAAACATTTTTTGTTCTTATATAAACATGATTTCAGAGGAAACATTTTTTGACACTCATAATAAATCTGGTGGGTCTCCAAAGACAGCTTTGGGGTAGCCACTCAAATTTACCTCTAGCGAAGTTAATTCTTCATGTAGCTCAAATTTAGAATTCAGATGTGTCATTCCCTGGCTGCAATCTGTTAGCCAAACAGCTCATTGCACAAATTTAAGCAGATGTTCATTTTTCTTTTATCCATTTTTGCATTATATTATGTTTCACTAAAGCTTTGCAGTAAATGACTACACATTCCACACAGTGCAATATGTTGTACTGAAGTTGAGGACTTGTAACATACTGCAGCTAAAACTATCACAGTTTACACTATCACAGTAACTGTTATTAGTGTTGCTCATGCAGTGATAGAAAAATCACATTAATATTGCTTTACTGTATATACAACCACAACAGAAAGTTATGCATTTGATTATTATTGAATATATTAGTACACATACAGTAATGCAAATTGTTCAGAAAAGGCATTTCACAGCACATTGTATAATATGTATTAGCAATACAAAATGTTGCTGTAAAAATGCCGTGCAGTTGATTTCTTCATTCCTTATCCTACTGTGTTTATTTAGTTTTAGAAGCAGCACATACTTCAGGAGTGTACAGAGCACAATCAAGGGCTACTTCACCTTCCTGGATATTTTTAAATACAGTCTTCTTGTTTATATTTTTCTTTGGTTTCAATGGGGTCTTTAAGCGGTGCTCCAAATTTAGACTGGTTGCATGTGTTTCAGTTTGAGAACCTGAACAGACATAATACTGTACCAAGCTCAGTATTTTTTTATTTCATGGGAATGCTATTGAGAGCACACCATACCACTAGGAATTTCTCAGTCTTTGCCAGCAACTCAGGCAAGAAAGCCATCAATAGCATGCTTTGCATATTTCTAGACTATTAGACCATGAACCTATTTAGTGAAATGTACACGGAATTAACCCATGCCTACTTGAACTTGCCATAAAGACATACATCTTCAATCACATGAATGCCGTGAAATGTGAGTATACTCAGGTGTCACTCTAGACACAGATAGATACAAGACAGGAAGATAATCTGTTCTTAGCAAGGAATGCAGTACAGGTGTTTTTATATGCAGGAATGTAATGCCACTTTAACGAGAGCTTCATTCACTGCAGCTCTGTTACGGAGAGCCAAAGAAAGGCCTCTTTATTTCCTTATCTGTCCGTGTGCCCCCCTGTGCTGTTTTAAAAGCCCTACTGACAATCCCACAGCTATTTCACAGATGGAGTTCTTTTATTCATCCAGGCATTCAGGGCATTTCTGAAGGTCACAATGAATAGCGAAGCAGGATTTTTCCCAATACTGCACAATAATAATGCAGACTTTACAGTGCGTCTGAAAGAACGAGACAGTTTCATCTGGTGAGATATGCCAATCTCAAAGACACCATTTTAAAGTGTGTTGGAATAACTATCTTCACTGACATTTAAAGATCTGCAATACGTCTAATCCAGTAATTGTAACAAAATTCTGTGTTCTCGGCAACTGCCTGACTGCAATCTGGTTTGCCTTCAGAGACAAAACAATTCAAGGTGTTGAAGTTTATGTTCTCTTAGTCAAGTTGAAAAAGTAAGAAAGAAACTTTCAATCATATTTAATGGAAATGTGAGTTTTCTCTTTCTCACCCTGTTATTACGAACAGTGAAGACTGAATTAGATCTTGGTACCTTTGCATACAGTGTTAACTCCACTCCAGCTTCCATTTTCTTGACACACTCTGGTACCAGGTCCCACCAGGTGATACCCAGAATTGCAGGTGAAATGAACTTCATGACCCAGGAAGTGCTTCGATCCAAACTTCCTGCCATGCTGTGGAGCCTCCAGTGTCGGGCATGTGACTGCAGGGAATAAAACAGAAAATTTCTGCTTGTCCTGTAGAATTTCATTGTTAATGACCTAACCGAACCCCTTTAATTGAATATTATATGTTATTCAATATATTATTTAATAGAAGATAGCATGTCTTATTTCTTAACTTACTTAGCAATACCTTATTGTTTCTAACCAAGCTTATACTGTAGTGGTTGGAAACCTTCAACAGGGGACATTAGCTGGTCTTGACCACTCAAGGAAATATTCTGCTAATGAATATAAAAACGTAACATGTTATCTTATTCACAGGGTTTTCTTCTATAATGTTCTGTTATACCTGTACGTTTTATGTCATTTGTTCATCTATGCATTTTCACTGACTGAATGAAACATTTGGTCCTCAGGAAAATGATAAAACTGTGTTCTTCAGCCAAACGTTAATCTAGAAATATATATATATATGTTGTCACAGGTGATTGCACTAATAGGCTTAATATGTGTCTGATTTTCTACTGCCGAAACTGAAAAAATATTTTCCGTTAAGTTGTCTTAAATTTCTTAAAATGTCAATCTTTTTCTGATTCTGGTCAAATCAATAGTTGCAGGTGGTAGTTATTTCAATTAAATAATGTGTGTAATAATTCATAAGAGTGGAAGAAAGAAATCCATCATCTTCATGTATATGAGCACCTTAAATTTTCAGTAGTTCATAAGTGGAAAATTGTTTTTAATTGGTAGAACTAAAGGAACAGGTAACGGGTTTTGTTCCCTGCTGAAAAGAAGAGAAAGGCTGAAACGTTGTGTGAATAAATCCATTACCTGTTCCTTTGCAGCCAGCGCATGCTGACGCAGCTCCCTACCTGAACTACTTCAAGGTCGAACTAAATACCATAATACAAAAAAATGACATAAAATTCCAAATTTTATTCATGGAAATGTCAATTACTTTGATTAATTAAAGTTCTGTTTTTAAATATAACATATTCAATATTGATTAAAATAGTTAATTAGGATTTATAAGACCTTATTATTAGACCTTACTCTAAGGTAAGGTGCATATTCAAAACTTGTAATGTGTGCACACACTTACAGTATGTGTACAAACAGATGAAGAATTTATTTGGTTTATTACAAACACAGTTAATATTGTACCTACTTTAAAGTGCCACTCCAGTACTTGTGTTGCACCAAAAAATGATTTCAGATACCCTAACTGGAAGAATCTATGTTTGTATTTCTCTCCATTGGAAATCACACTGATTCTTGTTTTCTTTAGCATAGGTGGCAGAAGAGTGTACAGTAGATAAGTGTAAACCAGTAGCATGGGGCTTCTAAACCTGGGGTGCACACACCCCCTGCGTGTGCATGACATGCCAGATTTTTTTAGAAGAGAAATCATCAACAACACAAATTAAAAATCAGACCTAGATATTTTGAGGCAAACTTTAAAAAGTGTGTCATTCTTCATGTATTGTTAATTTGACTAATTTTACTTCTCTCTCATTCTATACTTGAAAGGTTGAAAGAACGGACCGACTTTATGATTTTTGATCAGGGGTGTGATAACATACAGTATTTTGAGAATCTGTATGTTAAAACTTTGTGTTTTAACACAAAAAGGACACGTTGTGTCCTGTTTTTAAAATCAAAGATACAGTATGAGGGCCTGCAAGCTCAGAAATTCAGCACTGTCCCTACTAATCTCCCGCACACCTGGGCTGCAGGTCGGCCTCTGCACAGACAGATTGAGGAAGTCACTGCACTATTCTTCACAGCAGCAGCAATCGAATTGAGGACTGTTCTTGCTAGCACTTGGATAAACTGGCAATTCTTTTTTTTTTGTTTTATAAATAATCTCATAAGATTATATGCACATCTTCTTTCTGAAATGAGTTTTCCTTGAGTAGCGCCTTTTGATTCAGACATTGAACTGAAGTCTTCCCAGCTTGCACTCACTGTGGGATGTCGATGTGTTTGCGTGTTTAGTGTTATATTTACATAACCTAATGTGAACTATCTTTTTCGTAAACTCCAAATCAAATAATAAAAACAGAGTCAACTATTGTACTTCTTTTACTCTGTTTTGTTACAAAACAGACTACTGTAACTCAGTAAGCTTCATACACGCGAGTAGCATGATGCATGTACAGTAAATGCTCCCCAGATTAAGTTGCTGTTTCATGGGGTCATAGAGTCCATCATGACTGGTTTGGAGATATGAAAGATATGATTTATTGTCCATCAGTATTTTTCTCTAATTTATCACATCACAATACAGCATATGACCATAAACTCTGCTCTTTAATGGTGATAAAATAGCCTAAAATACAAAGAGAGCTCTAGAGAAACCAACCGCTAGTGGGTGTCCTGGGCGCTCAGAGCCAACAGAAAGGACTCTTTGTGTTAGCAACAAACAGAGCAGTGGGAGTCAGACAGGAGGCTGCAAACGTCTCAGAACAACAGGTGCCCACATGAACTACAACCATCGTCACAGCGTGGAACACAACAGATGCACAACGAGCCACAGGCCACATTCTTTAATTCAAGTAATGTCAGCCATCAGCTGCAAGTAGCAGGACACATGCTGTCGTGTGCTCCCACCTTTTCTCATGATCACCTGACACAGACTAGCTCAGGAATTTGTACTGAAACATCTGGGAGACAGCACAGTAAAAGTGGACCGGTTTGGTCTGGACAGTTGCAGCTTCTTGCATATGAAAGGCAAATACTCAGAGACATTGGGCTGAATATGTCATTATATCAAGACAGTATAGCACTTACTTGTAAGGCAAGTTGGAATATCAGTGTAAAATGAGGCTCTATACATCATTGTTAGGTTAACTTGATGATAACTTTTATTTTAGGCATTTTTAAAGGCCAACATGTGCACCAAGTAGTTCAGCATCCAAAGACAATTGGGACAACCAATCTGATCACATCATACATTGTAAAGTTCAAGCCGAGACTTACAAATCTGCTAAACATTTAAGGCTTTTCCCTGGAGCATAGTACTATAATGCCATCTAGCAGAATCAAGGCTGCTGGCTGGCCAGGCTTTCTTGGCAATATGCATTCCTCTGTTCAGTGTATTTACCTGTATGTTGGTCTGCTGGAGGGAACTTGGACACAGTGTTCTGCAGAGCTGCCAGTTTGGATTTCATAATGCGGAGCCCTTCAGCAAACCGCGTTTCCTGCCCTTTCAGAAACTTTTCCATCTGACGGATCACAGTCACAATATGATGCTTGTCTATGCAGTTCTGTCCAAAAACAACACAGAAGATTTTTTTTAACAACCCTAAAACGTTTTTAGGTATTAAGTCATCCTTCTGTTCTACTTCCCTAAATAAATTACGAAAAAGCAAACATATGCTGCACTGTTTCACAAATTTGTCAAACATATTTACCCTCATACGCATTCTGTGAAGATGCAAAACAGTCGTAATGTATCCAATTCTAACCCTTATTTACTGTAAATTACTATATTGCACGGGTACATAATAGGCTTCCCAAATATTTAGAAACAGGAAGGACATGAATAGTTAATGATTTCATTTTATTGTTGTTGGTTGTTGGTTGTTGCAATTTACGTCAATTGGTTTAATAGACAAGGGAGAGCATTACACGGCTATGATACCTTGTGGTTCACTGCGCACATACTGTATCTCTGTCCTTACTGATGCTGTTCTGAAACACATGTAAGTGAGATGAGTCTGCTCTTTAATAAAGACAGACAGGATAGCAGATGGATTAAAGCTGTTCAACAGATGCTGCTGGACCACAGTTCAAATGCTTGTCCTGTATATTTTGGATGACATTAAGTAGCTCAGACCAAAAGAATACTGAAAAGTACGCCTTTGTATTAAGCTCAGCCTTTGAAATCAGGTTGATTTCAAAACAAAAAAAACACTGAAAATGAAAAAGTACTATTTGAAATTCTGTAAAAGCAATTCAAATAACTCTGTAGCCTTGAAATGGCTTAGGTGGTCGTTCTCTAGTCCACATTGACAAGAAGACACAGGACGTGAAAAATCAATACTTGCCCGTTCCCTATGAATTAGACTCCTTATAAGTCATTTATTTTCCATGTCAAAGCATGACAAGTGAAGTCATATACAAGATGCAAAATAAAATTCTACTTCATTTGAATTCTCAATTGAAGATTAAATGAGTCCACTAAAAAGTTTCTTGAAGTCCACAGAATTTTAATTTGAGGAAAAATGCTTCACCTTTAATCCACACAGCACTTTAAATTTACATGGCATATATAAGGTGTCTTTCAGCTAGAAAGTATTCATGCTGTCTTCTGCACATAAACTTTCAATGGCGTACTGACAAACTACAATAGCTACTACCCATTTGAAACAAAGTAAAACACTAATGTCTCAAGGAAAGCTGAGCACTAACAATCTCTTTGTCTCACTGGGAGGCTCAGAAGTGGAAACAATCCCCCCCAGAAAATGATGGTAAACAAGCAGGATTGATGCCACATGAAAGAGCTTCATATATAATACAGCATTTGTATTGCCCTTGACAAATAAAGAGAGAAACAGCAAAGAAATATACAAGTAAGATTATTCTGATGACACACAACAGACAGGCAAAAAAGCCATTTGTACTATTTATCTTCCAGCAGTCTGCTCCCATTATATGATCCTACTGTCCCAATACTGTGGCTGTGTATGAGCACATGTATAGAAAGATTTAGTCTTCTGTAAACGTCCTACGGACGTTTTAAAAGAGGTAAATTTCTAGAATAATATTACTATACTATTAATATAAGAGAAGGTTTATATTGCACAATGTGTAAGCAATGGATTGAGTGAATTCAAAAGCACTTTGGAATCCTTTATAATGAAATGTGCTATATCAATGCAAGGAATTTGCTGATGAAGCTTACAGTATATATCGAGGTATTTCCCATTTTTTTGGTTTTGCACTGCATGGTTTGTCAAGTTACAATGTGTTTGAATTTAGTTCAGTGTCTAAATTAATTCATTCAATGTCTCCCTAGCAAGAATGCAGAGAAGCCCACCTTGCACAATTGTGAACACACTCTTTCACAAAACCTGTCCAAGCCCAGTTCCAGCTTGATTTGCAAAACTCGTGTTCCAGAAGACTTGCATTCTAAATGTAAACATCTGAAAGAAATCCCCTGGCTTGGGGAAGTTTAATTGTATCCAAAATCCCTTCACAACTTCATTTCATATAAAAGAGATTATTGCCTTTTTTCTTCTAAATCCATAGCTGCAATGGCAGTAGAAAATAAAAACAAAATAAGTATTATCCAGCAAACAAAATATAGAATTTGGAATTCATTTTACTTTGTTTTCTAGAACTGCGGTTGGTGATGTGAAAGGAGTTCTGTCTTAATCTTTATGGATTAACACAATATTCAGGGTATTTCACATAGTTTATATATATATAAACTTTTACAAGAACGTAGTGTATAAAAGAACAACAATAATCAGTCATTATGAAAAGGAAAACTGCAGTATGACATTTAATTATTTTTTTCTTAGAATATCTCAATGAATGCGTGACAGAAAAAATCTGAAACACGCAGTAGCAAAAAAAAAACTTCGTAGAAAACCTCGGATTTATAAATGCAATCTGGTTTAGACTGGGTTGGCTTTAAAAAATGCTAGTGACAATCGCATTGTACTGTGCAGCGAATGAAAGATGGAAGTACTAACCTGAGCTGTGTGAGACTGATCAAGCGCTGTTAAACACAGGAGCAATAAACAGCTGTAGCGGACACCCGCAGTCATGCTTGCAAGTCCGAAGAAGTTTTTTTAACGAATATTTCACACTCGAGAAACTCAAGGCAAGGTAATACATTAACTGTTTATTGTGTAGAAAGCTGTGTTGAACTGCATTCCTCCTCAGCAAAAAGAAGACGTTTTGCGGCTTACAAGTTTCAAGTACAAGCACTGATGCTCTGTGTATGTGAACTAGCAGTTGTGATGCTGTGCCGTGTTCTTTACGCTCCAGGAGCCAGGGAAAAGCTAAGGCTGCTACCTAATGTTCTCAGACTCCCATGAACGATTGATGTAATCCCTCCCACTAACACCCCAACACTGCGCTAAATTCCGAAAGTTTTTTTCTTTACGTCTTAGGTCGCCTCCATCAGACAGAAGAGCTACCATGTGTGGATTCGTGGGGTAGGAAAACTCAAATTCCCCATTCCTAACCGTATGTGAACATTATTGCCTTCTTTCTAGAACAATCATTGGATTACACGTTATTCCTACGAGATTGTTATGAGATATTTTAGGGAGTCCATTCACTCAGAAGACATTAGAAAAAGAAAAAGCCTATCCTCTGTTAACATGAAGTTTGTTTTTAATTCATATTAATTAATTGTATCCGGGCTATTTTTTTTAATTAAATGCAGATGTTAAGATTTAATCTTACGCTGTTTCCCAAAACAATTCTATTTTAAAACCCTCTACTGCTTGATGCACAACTATAAGCAATTTCCTGTGAATGCTACTGTACATGTTGATAAAAAATGCAAGAAAATAGAACTAAATTGTGTGTAGCTGATTGCTTTGTAATTGTTCCCAATTTCCTTTATATAGTTTCCAAGACCTGCTTCGTGTTTGTCTTGGAGCAAAGACAGTCTGAGTTTAGAAATCATCGCACTCAATAAAACAGAGAACTTTCAGCAAATTTCTGAAGATCGTGCTCTAACTGAGTAATTGGGGAGACTTTCTACGAGACTGCAGGGTAAAATCCTACTACACATTCTTTTCTGATTCACATAAAATTGTAATCGTGGGTTCTGGTTCTTTTACATCCTCCCTAGTCAAGTGGGATGAGCACTGTGCACTTCTCCGAGACGCGCACTCTGAGAATCAGCTCTCATGTTCTAGAAGGCCTGCAATGCCTCAAGCAGTGTGGACTCTGAGAGAAAGAGGGACTCTGCTCTTCCTGAGACCACCACAAGCTCCCAGGCAGCAGGTACTGTAGATCACACACTAACCTGGTGTTGCTTGGCAATAAGCACTGCCTCTTGAGGGATCCCTGTCACTCTGCGTTAATGTCCCAGACCTCAGGCGATGATGTCTGCACTCATATCAAGGCTCAGACTGGGTTCTGAACAAGTGTTATTGCTGGGTAAGACGTTCATTAGCTCCTGCGGCCTTTTAATAGAAGTTTCCATCACTACTTGAAATGCTGAAATACTTACAATAATTACATTTTACGCACCCTTACCTTCAATAATTCAGAAAGCACTACTGTACCCAGATCTCACTGTACTGATGACTGAACAGAATATTAGTTTCAGAACTAGGGATTTCCTCCTTTCTCAGATACCAGTCTTGATTAAACTAGAGAGGCACCAGTTGCATTACCATCATTACAGATAGTAATAGTTTTGTTTAATACACAGGATGTAAAAGTTTCAAGATGGCTCTCTTTTCAATGTAAGAATATATTGTAACGTCCTTGCTGCTGCCGCCTCAGGTCAGCCCTCCCACCACTGGGGACTCGAACCCGGGCCTCCGGCATTACTCAACTGGGAACCAGCCAGCTGAGCTAAAGGGAAATCTCCCCTCAGCCCGGCGGCTGCGGACCCTGCTACTCACAGGGAAGGGCGGTGACGTCACTGCGCTGGTAAGCCGGCTCGCACAACCTGTAATGTCGGCCGTATGCATTACAATATTGTCTAGAAATTCCAAATTATTTCATTTTGCAAAGATATATGGTAACGCACTCAATGTTTCAGCTCCTTCGTGGAAGTGTATATCTTTGGAAGCGAAAAAAGTAGATGTCCTACCTTAGATGCTGCTAAAAAAGACACATTTGACACGATGATTGACTTTGCCAGTTCATCACAGTAATGATGATTCCGTTTTGAATCATTTTGAATTAGAAAAGGAAACTTTTTTATCGTGCTTATTAGAAAAGGAAACTTTTGTATCTTCAGGGACTCCTGTATATTCATTAGTCTTCACTGTGAATTTTACAATGGAGACATTACTTCCAAGACACTGAGAGAGTTTACTGCATCTGCATGCCATCTGTGAAGCTACAAGTATTATTGAAAAGTAGAAAGAGAAACACACAGCATGTTTCAGTTCCAAAGTCAAGATGTTTTGTTTTAATATTATTTTTAATAATAAGAAACCACACATGGATGCATGTTATATTTTCTGTTGCAGAATATTTGCAGGAGTTGCTCTTTAAGCAACAGAGTGCACTAGTGCTTAGGTTTGCCCATGCCTGAGGGTACGGGTTCAGATCCTGAGAGGAACGCTGCTGTTGTACCCCTGACCTTGTCTCTCATCACAGATGCTCATGTAGCTGTCCTGTAATGGCCCTCCGGGTTATCACTATGTATGAGGCTTGGTTATCACTGAACCAACCTAGTGAAATATGTGATGAGTACAACCTTGAAAAAGTTAAGACAGTGCTTGTGATGGGATTTGCCAACTCGTGCCACATTGTGTAATGATCAGACCAGCTGAAAGGCTAAGCCTGTTGCTGTTGAGTCTTACACAGCATGCCACTTGTTTTATTTTCCTCCATCTGGCATATAGATCTACAGTATTAAAGCAAAAACTTTGTTTTAGCAGCAGTTTTTCTCCTATCCAGACCTAGAGCATATCTAGTTCTATCTGTAACAGCCTGCACATGTGTGCAGTTTGAGGTGTATATTGAAACACAAAGTTTTTGCTTGAGTGTATTATATTAAACAGACCTGTCAACCCTACATGTCTACATGGATACTGCAGTTTAACGTTTGTGTAATACTGAATTGAATGGACACTTGCAACATCTGGATGAATTCCTTATGCATTCTTAGTCAGTTGCCCAATGGAAGTGTCTGTTTCTGTATATTAGAAATACTCACCGCTGTTTATTCAGCAGCAGTATTTTTCAATACATACTTTAGATGTTTTTCAGAACATCTGATATGGGAGCCTGGTACAGTTAAAGAAGTTTAATAGCATATCCATCTGAAAGCCCCTTCCAGCACTGATACAATCAAAAAGCATTCTGGAAGAAAGCCACTTGATTATCTTGTGAAATGAGGCATTTTATTTATTCAGCCTTAAAGCAAATGCAACATTCTCAAGACGTACAGATGTTCAAAACATCCTTTGGAGTTCATTTGGTGCTATGTCCTCTGTCTTCTTGAATGGCAGATCTTACATGTACTAGTTCAGTTCTATTCCAAGACCAGCTGTGAGCTTTGGAGGATAACAATAAGTTTGATTCACCTAATAAAAACAAATTTTCCATTCAGCCTTCTATTTTCGAATGCAGGCCTGCAGGGGAGCCAGGGGCACAAACACAGGCAAACTTGCCAAGGCCCAAGGCCACAATTGAGCCTCGGGCCCCAGGGCTGTGGGACACCAATGCCAACCACTGAGCCGCAGTACTATAAATCTTTTTTTATAAAGGTGGAGCAACATTCTCTTTCTAGCCAGCTGCCACTTTTGTGACCTTTTTCTGTTCAGTCCTTTTTTCATTAATCCACATCACCAATTGTATAAGTACTGACTAATGTCTATAATCACAGAAGTAATAATGCTACTTACAGTATGTACGGTTATTCAGGTTGTCCTGTAATGTGCAAAATGCCTTCTGTAAACTACATAGAAGCCTGATAGAGTTTGGTTCTCACACAAAATACTCGTGAGAACAAAACAGGGCCTGTCTCTAGCTTCTGAAAGCCTCTTTCTGAAGGTAAAAACATGTAATTTTTCTGAAATACATATGTTCAGGGAAAGCCCTTCTTCAACCATAAAGCAACACACTTTGGAATTTGGGATAAGATAATTCCAGGCAAGTTTTCTCTGTAACCATACATCGAGGACAATAATGTAAAATCAATAATAACCTCTTATTTTAAATTATTAATACAGAATACATTAGCAAATAGTAAATAAGATTGATACTGCCAATGTTCCAACTTTGATGTGAAGAAAACAATAGCACCTTGTTCCATGTTGTTAATGAGACCCGAAGCCTATCATTTGGGTGGACATTGCTGTCGTTGTGTTATTGTGGTTATTTTTCCTTTTTGCAGTGTAAAGGGTAACCATTAACAATCCCCACATGATTACAGGAAGTATGTAAGTGTTTATAGGCTCAGAAGAACAATGTTGTTTTAAATAATGTAAGTGTACTGAATAACGGAAAATACAACTGAGAACTAAATATGTCTGTTTCACACTCTCCCAACAATTTTAGTAATAAAAAGAATATCTATTTTAAGTGAAAATCGTACTAAAAGTATTCCATAAAGCTGTTAAACTGGGTGCTTAACTGGGGGGCGGGACTCCAGTTAAATAGTATTTGTTTAATTGCACGTGTTAATCACCGAATTCAATTAGCAATTCAGAATTGTTGATTCTGAATAAAAGTTGATCGCTGACGCCATCTACCGTTAAAATCTGTCAGCTTTTGAAAACGTGTTTCTTCCTGTGGGAGGCACCAGTGACATCTGATTTCCCGCACTAAATGTACACGAGTTACGACATTTAAGGTCACGAACCTGTAACGCCGATTCTCATTGGGAAAAAAAAAGTTTCAGTTTCAGTTAATACGTTTATCTATTCTATTCATGGTTTCATCGTTTAAAACAAGGAAATTGTGCACATAACACAAAATTGAAAATAAAAAAAACATAACACGCATCGCTTGAAAACAATCGCCTTCACAATCTTTTAAAGACGATTTGCAAATCTTTGATTTCTAGTCGCATAAAAAGACGTAAACGATCGATAATTGTATCTCTTGTGCTAAAACAGGAAGACTCCCTTTTGTAAACATTTTTATGTAACTTGCTTTGCATAGTACTAGCCGAACCTGTGTTCTACTTTTCCACATATCATTCCGCAGTAATGACGCAACGACAGTTTTCATTGGTGGGTTTTCTTTTCTCTCTACCAACCTTGATTACTAAAACCACGCCCCCGGATTCGTATGACATTCCTCTTAACCAATAGAAGAAACAATATTTACATAATCCGCCGAAGGTAAACGCAGCTATCCAATCACAAATACCATAAAGCGGATATTTGGGGTATTAGACTGATCCTTCGGGACTAGAGCAATAAGTGGAAGAATACAATTGCCGTGGTGAGGTTCAGCGCAGCCATTTTGACAATGCGTTGCGGGCGCCATGTTTGTGTGAAGGAATAGATACTACCGAAAATGATAGAATTTCTTGTTATTTCACCCTTCGTCTCCAAATTTTCAAGAAAACAGTCATCCGGCGGGACATTAGCCAAGCGGGTGTATCAAACTCTGTTACAGTTTTAAAACAACATCAAGTGATTGATAAGAGACTGGATAAAGTCTGTTGTGTTACTCTGTCTCTCACTAAAGTAACCGTGAGTTTTTCAAACTAATGTAATCCTTCATCATCTCTCACAATCCAACGTCTCCTTTTGAGTGACTGAATGCAACTCACTCTGGTTTCGGGAGCAGTGCAGTGTCGTTTCCAACCATCATGGCTTTTGCGAGCCTTTTCGCCAATCCCCCAAACCCCGTTCTTGACAAAAACATGACAGACTCTGAACTTGCAGGGGACGAAAGGTCGAGTAACATTCTTATATATCTAAAAATTCTTCTGTACGATTTTTTTTTAGTTAGTTAAATGCTTGTGATTTTTGTTTTGGTGCGTTGTCTCAGAAATATGGTATTGTTGAAACGCTTTCTTGGTAATGGTGAACTCAGGCCTTCCAATCCTTGTACTTAGAATCTGCATGCGTTTATTTTTTATATAGTGCGCTATATATTTATATTAATACCAGTATTATTTACGTTCCATAAAATGCACATGTCATGGTAAGTTATGTTGCTCATTTCACTCTACCAGCGCGAATAGGTGGAACTGTTGGTTTTTTTCTTCGCTGTACAATAGTGTTAATTTTTGGCAGTGTTTACAGAGATGGGTCAACCATTTTGAAGTTCTTCCTTATAGATGCTGGCTTTCATGTTAGGTGATTTTTTATGTAAATTAAGATGACGCATGATAGCCGCCCCATAATATCCATGCGCACTGAGCTCCCCTTGTGAAGAGTTTGTCTCCAGTACAGGCAGTTGGATGAGAAACTCGAGGCTGTGCATTGTAGGTCAGTGTCGGTTAATTTCAGCTGTTCATTTCATCTTGTAACCATCTGATGCAGGCTTACTTTCCCTTCCACTCACATCCACCTGTTCCTTTGGTCAGAAGGGCATGCACTAGCATAGAGTTATTGAATTTACAGTGGAGTTGAATTGTTGGGATTTTCTTCCGTTTGTTGTCTAAACAGATTTTTGTTTTGTCCAATTTATTTCCATGTATTTCCATTAGGTAGGTTACATATATGGTAAGAGACTAATCTTCTTTGTTTCATGGTGTTACTTGGTTTGGAATGTGATTTAAGCAGGTTACGTAAAAATAAAGAGATTTTGTAGCTGTTTAATAGTAGCTAACTGAGTTTTGCAGTTGTATTTTAGTGTTGGTTTTTGAAAAAAGAACTTAACTGACATAACCTGTCGTAGAAAGGTTGTGCTTATGTGATGCAAGATTGTCTCATCATTGTCTCAGTGATAGAACTATGGGTTCTCCAACTCAGTTCCTGGAGGGCAGAATGTCCTTCTTTGGTCCAGTTTGAAGAGTCAGTTCCACACACAGAGTATAATTATTTAAGTTTTCAATAGAGACTGTTTTAATAAAGTTTTATTGCTGATTAATCAAAATATTTACCTAATCAAGGGTACAGTTACCTAGATATCACCTTGAAGCCAGATTAGAAGCCTTACATTGAACAGTTAACCTAAATAATTTTGATAATTATTATCATCTATGTAAGTGAGAATTGGGGTGGAACAGAAACCAGATGATAGCAGGCCCTTCAGGAACTGAGTTTGAAACCCCTCGTTTAAAGTTATCCCCTTCGAGCCTATTGGTCTCCAACCATGAAAAAATAAGATTTAAAAAATTGAAAATTACATGAATGACAAGTGAATTACTGGTATTTGCAAGTCATCAAGGAAGTATGTGAAGACTCCAAAGTATAGAAATGAAATGCTACTGCAGAAAAGCTGCTGACTTTAGTCATGTACTGTATATAGAAAAGGAGACCCGTATTCTGATCAAATTTGAGGAGAAATGAGTTGTTGATCAATTCCTATTAGGCAAAGGGTCCTGCAATTAAATACTTCAGCTCTATGTATGTTTATCACATTTAATGTACTTTATTCTCTAACAAAAGATGCTGGTCTTTTCTAGTGTGTACAGGTTTTGTTGTTAAAATCTTAACTTCAGAAACAAACGTCTTGAATCTCCAGTGTTTTATGGTCCGTTCACACTGGAGCTTTTAATCATAATCTATAAACTTTGGTTTGTTAGGAGGGTACAGTCCAAACGGACTACAGATCACAGGGGCAGATAGATGTGACACTCTTCACTTTATTAACTTGAATGTGAACCTTACAGGGGGCTCAGTTTGCAAACAGAAAATTAATATGACCACAGCATTGAAATAAAAAAAAACTTTTCCTGGCATTACAGCCAATGTTTCAACACAGCAATACCACTGGGATAGAGATGGGCACGAAAGAAGGCAGAAGAGCTTTTAGAAATACAAATTGCATTCGGATTCAGATGCTGTCTGATATAAAAAAGACGAGCGTTTTCAGTTTTTTCCACAAGCTGAAAAAGGGTTTGTGAGTAGATGTAATCAACAAGGGGGCAATGTAAGAATGATGCCACCAATGTATTTTGAAAGAAGCGCGTGCTGTTAAAACATTGGGTGTAATACCAGGAAATTTTTTTTTAAACAGTGTATCTAGTGTAACAATCTACACCTCATATCTAAAACATAGTTCACATTATTTTATAACAATATGAACACAAATAGACCAAATCCCTAGGATACAAGGAAGTGAAACTAGAAAGCGATCTGCAGTCCACTTCCTAGAGAACTCTGTGCAGCTAGCATATTTTCCAAGTCAAATGAACCAAATTGATTTAATCTGAAACAAGCCCAGTGTGAACATACCTTTCATCTAGAGTGTCATGAGACGCATTCAGGGGTCAGGAATATTACTGAGGGTTTTTTCTTCCTTTTAGAATTATTTGTAGTGGCAGCATGTATGCATTCCTCAGTTTTTGTTTCCATTTTTTCTGAGAATTATTTCAGACGAGCACAGTGAATATACAGGGAAACAAGCTAGGGTTTAAAGAAACATTCTCACAGACATTGATGGCCTTGGGACTAATCTGTAGGTAACTCTCTCACTAGATATTTGTAAACCTAGAATGATATTTGTGCATCTATAATAGAACCAGAAACATTTCTTTTGCAACAGATACTAATGGCCTTGAAGTGGTATGAATCCCACTGTAAGTTAAAACATTTTATTAACGGGTTTATGTTATAAAAAGGGTGTTTAAAATGTGGTGGGTGGCCTAAAAAAACTCTTGTCCAGCATGAGGTTTTCAAGGAATTCACTTGTGATCATTTAGAAAAGGACATAATGATATGCTCCACCTCATCAGCTTTAAAT